GTACAAATGTAAAAAAAACGACAATGGTAATTAGTTTGTCTTTCTTCTCATTTTTGTCCCACAAACGTCTGACAGTTTTTTCTTCAAGATGTTTCAGTGATTTGATTCCAGACTGAAAAACAACATATCACACTCACATTTGACCTGGAAAATGGTAATTATTCATTTTCTCGCCTTTTATAAATGTGCTAATTTCTAGAAAAATGAGCAGTACTCCAGAAGATCTGATATTGGTAATAATAAATGATAAAAACATAATGATAATTAAATCCCTTAAATCTGGTGTCCTTTATTTAAACACGTTAATCATTAATAATGACGATCAAAAGGACCTGCTATTCTTTATGACTGGAAACAAGCCACAGCTGTGCGCCAAACACTCCAAACATTAGTTGAAATACACAAAATGTGAGAAAATATCCAGAAGGTGCTGTCACTGAAACAGCCAACTTGATCAAACAGTCATCTGTCCTGAACGATGGGAGACGGCAAAAGCGTCCATAAGGCGAAAGTCTTACCTGATGACAGAGCCGTGCTGCGTCTCAGTACACTGTCATCCTGGAGTGTGCTGTCTGAGCGAGCTGCCGGGCTGTGGAGTGTGTGTGCATGTGTGTGTGGAGGAGAGAGACTGATAAGTGTGAGAGTGTGTCTGAAAGTACTGGGTGACTCAAGAGAGCAATGTGGCTGCCTGCGGTTTCCTGACGCTCTCTATTGTGGTGGAAGGTGATATGTTTTCCTGAGGAAAGGCCCGTCCCGTCCTCCCCCTCCCCAGCACCTCCACCACGGACCTCAGGCCCCCGCCGCTGCCCTGTCCTGCACCCCCCACCCACACCCCCCCGACGCACACACACAGGGACACACACCCGCACCCGTGGGACCCCTCTAATTACTGTGATTGCACCAACTGTGCAGTGAAGGAGGACAGAACATTCTCCGGCGGGGTTTTGTGTTTTTATCGGCGTCTGTGTGTTTGTGCGACTGATTTTTCTGGTGTGAAAAGAAAATAACTCCTGAGGATGATTCAGTGTCAATAGCCTTGAGTAGAAATTCCATTCTTACTTCCATCGGCGGGCCATTTCTCCTCAGCGGAAGGCTTTAAGTGGAGCGACCAGGCCGTCAGGGCTGCTGCAGCTATGTTGTCTTTAGTTTACTGCGCAGCCTCAAGGTCAGAGCCGCCGCGGGGCTCAGATGTCCCACAAAGGCCAGAGCACAGGCCTGTAAACACAGAACGAGCCCAGAACCGGAGCGGGGGGCTCAGAGCCGTTTAAAAAAAAAATCTCGATTAGAGAAAGCAACTCAACAGCAAGGTACTTCAAGTGCTTCAGGTCACCACTTTGAAAACATGTCCAAAACATTCCTGTGTGGGCTGCAAACCACCACACCCCCCCACTCCCACCCTCCCAAAACCCTTTATGCTTTATGCCAAAGCATGAAGGGGAGCTGGAACCTGACTGATTATTTTTGGAAGTTTTTTTAATGTTGCAAGCAGACAAATTTTTCAACACTTAAACACACAAAATATCATCCAGGCAACTAAAAATGTGGGATTGTAGCCTGATATGAACTTTGTTTTTGATTTAGAAAAGGCAATTCTTTGCTCTCGCCTTCACAACCGGAATTTCCTACATTCAAGTTTCAGTCAGGCCTCCAGACCACGTCGACAGAAGACCAAAATCAAAACAGGAATTAGAAAAAGTCAGAGACTGAATGAAAAACCTCATAAGGATCATGTGGGTTCTGAATCTGGTGACAGGAGTCAGCAGAGCAGAAACAAATGTGAACAAAAACACAGAAAATGGACACCAGGAAACAATAATTACAAAACAGGAAATAGGTAAAAGAAGAAGAAAAAAACAGGGACCAACACAACAGATCCTGACGACAGCTTTAAGAAAAAAAGAAAAAAAAATCAAAGCGCATTAAGAGCCACCATCCAAAGCCCAGTCAGTCCCAGATCTCCTTTAGTCTTTGGCAGGATGAAGAACACAACTCCAGTAAACGTCAGCAGGCAACATAGCCAAAGGGTTTACTTTGTGTGAGCGCTTCATCAGCAGCTGTGATTCCTTCTGTCAGAATTCTCTTTCCCCAACGTTCATGAACTCTAGATCAAACATAAAGAAAAGCCAGCTGTGACTGTATTTTACCTCATCTGAATAGCACGTACAACTGAGTCAAGCTCAGCTCCGAAAATAATCCCGCCAGAAAATATTTGAGCTTCAGCTGAAAGAAAAAACCCTTAATTCTTATGTAACAATGGAGCATGTTTCCACCATAACCGATTCAGGGCAAAGGTTCAGAAAAACAACAACAAAAAGCCCCGTCTGACATTCAGAGCAACCACAAAAACAACTTTTAACTCCAGTTGCATTTAAATCTTTGTTACAATCCTTATAAGTGAGGTCAAAATTAACTGGACGGTGCTCTCTGCTGGACAAACGATGTCAGGCCTCCAAAAGCATTTGCTTTGCTCATCGTCAGCTCACAGATCTGCAACGAGCATCCTTCCACCTGTTGATAGATTGGATTATTTTGTACTTCACCAGTGTCTCTAAATATATGCATTATTTATCTATTAATAATATCAGATATATTTTTCTTTTGTTGTTTTTAGTTTGACCCTGTAATAAATAAGTGAAGAAACACTTTACAAATTAGATTTATTATTATTCAAGCAAGTGTAAATTTTTTCTACTCTTCCTGAACTGGCACACTGCATTAAGACAACAACAAAACACATACTGCAATTATTTTATTAGGAGCACTTTTATGGATCCACTGACGTGACTGAAAAGTAACACAATTCAAAAATAGAAGTCATGCATGATAGTGACATATAACTAAAAATGCTTAGAGATCATTTCCAGTGTCAAATCTTACAAACTTGTTGGATCTTTGTCCATGTCCTGTAAATAACCACCCATTATTAACGGGTGTGAAGTCACACAGAGACGAGTATCTGAAGAGCTTTATGTGCTCACTGGAAGGTGGAACATAGTTTAACTGTGACATAACACAACTACAGACCGACTCGAACTTTCACATATAATGCCGAATATCCATTTTTTCCCCCTCCTAATATACATTCGTCTACTAAAGCTAGAAGCTTTCACAACCAATTAAATGTTTTGATGGGAAAAATTCTGCGAAGAAGGAATCGTTTTCACTTCCAGTCTAGCAAAAGTAAAAAGTGCTCAGTTATCTACCAGACAAATACAACATATTTCAGACAAATGTGTTCCTGTGCTGTTATTTTGTATTTAGCTTCGCTCAGCAAAATTCAATGTGAAGGGGTGAACAGTGAGCCTCCTTTTGACAGCAGCTGCCTAGCTGCCTACTATAAAACGTTAGGTAATTATGAACGTGTGTGAATCCACAGTAAAAAATAACATTTTAATTAAATCAACTGAAGCCTTTTCAACTTGTCTTTAGACATGCTTCTTTCTTTTATATGTGGTAATAAATTCAGTTAGAATGCTGTGGTGGGGCAATTCTGCTTTCAATCTGCAGACGTCCACCTACAGTCTCATAAAACTGAGGGAAAACGGCTCAAATCTTGCAGAATACGGTCCTGACTTCCTTCTCAGTAGGAAACCATAATGAAGCTTGGAAATGTGAGCCAGGCGTTGATGGCCGGCCGACCTGGACAACAGGCACAAGCTAGCTGCTAGCTGAACTCATGTAGTTTCTCAATATAGGATTTAAAAGTTGTTTTTTAATAGTTTTCACAGCGTCTAGTTGTTGGATTTTGAGTCTTTTTTGTTATCATTTGTAATTATTTATCTTTCTTTTTGCCTTCCGTCATTTCATGGGCATCAAGGGGAGCTTCACATCTTTGAGATCCACTTTAAAATGTGTCATTTCGAGGAACAAACAGTCAACAAACAACGTCTCACTGGTGTCATCTGAACTTCAGAGGATGCTGGTGGATGGAGATTTTATCGGCTCTAAACACGACAAAGTTTGGCTGAACAACAGGCTTCATATTGGAACGATAGCTGTCTAATTCTTAAAAGGAGAGCATCTCTTTTTGAAGTGCTGCCATTCATTTGATCCTTCTCTGACCTTTTGCTCTGGTGAACTTCCCTTTATGTCTCCATGTCCAACAGTGTGTGTGTGTGTGTATGTATGTGTGTGGGCTGTGTGTTTAGGGGGCCCGGGGACATCAGAGGGTCTGGTTTTGGCCTCGGCCATGGTGGAAGTGAGGATGGGGGTTGTTGAAGCTGTAGGGCTCGTGGCGGTGGTGGCTGTGGCAGATGACCGGGTGCTCGATGCCTTCGCTCTGCAGCTCCTCCTGCTTGTGCAGCCCTTCCAGCTTTGCCACCAGCTCTTTGATGAAGGTCTGAAGAGGAATACATGGAGAGGAGATCAGATGGAAGTTTTAAAACCATATCTTATTCTGATTTGTCTGTGCAACAATATTTAATTATTTTTCCTATTCAGCTTTGATCGTCTTTGCTTTCGAGATGCAGTAACGAGACGCCCAGTTAATCAGACTAACTGTTGCCTGAGTTAAAGGCTCGAGTGTTTTCTTGGTTTACAATTTTTTGAGAGTTCTTCACTGTTTGCATAGATTAAAAAAATAGGGATGTAGTATCTGTATCTCTCACATCAGTTTGACAGCATACCAAGTTATTTTCATCTTTATTGGTTCTGCCCTCAATGCAATAAATTCACAGGTCAGAATTAATTTGTTGCAAAAGTTCTAATATGAATATCATTAAATTGAAGCATGATTAATTAAAGTATGATTGCTGCTTGACAACCAAACAATCCAAACAAATCTTAAAATAAAAATAAAAAATCAAATAATGAACTTCCTCTCAAGCAAACGTATGGATACACACGTCTATTAACTTTAGGACCATTGAACTTTGCCATAATTACCACATAAATCCAGGAATTATCTGTGTTTTGAGAGCTTCTTCATTTCAAAACAACAGTTAAAACCAGAGATTTCCAGTTATTATCGAAGCTCTTGCTACTTGTAACCTTTGGATCTTTTCTAAAACTTTCCCAGGCTGAAAGCTGTTGTTAAAGAAACACTTTAAAGCAACACTTTAACAACAAATGGTTGTTTGCATTGCTGAGACTTAAGCGAACTGAAGCCAAACGCAACATTATTTAGGCAGAATTTCCCACATGTGGTACACATGTGGGAAGCTCTGTGATTAGTTTACTGTTATTCCACATGATGTTTTGAAAACTGATGCCAATTTTAACATTTCATACTGTAAAGCATTTTAAAAAATGAGTTTCAGGTCCTATTTTCAACATGACTCTGTAAAATTTCCATCCTGACCACACGGCATCCCCCATAAAAATAAAGAGATTTTGTTTTTCAATGTGAGTATATGATTGGAAAAAGCTGCAAATTGGATTGGAAAAACCTGCAAATAGCCGTGGATGCTTACAGCTGCCACTCTTAAGTGCTGATAACCTTTATGAGTAGAAAGCCAGGGCAATAACTTCAGCCTCTCTGGAGCCGCTGTGCTGTGAGAGCTATTCATATAGATCAGTATTTGACCATTTCTGTTCCAAGACCAAGCAAACGTCCATTATTAAAATATCTAACAACAAACACAATTAATCCTACTTGGTTTTTAAAAGAAAAAAAAGGTTGTCGATAAATGGAATACTCAGTCTTGGTCGTCAGGGTTCATGTTCTCCTCAGTTTATTTATAGCCCAAATATCACAGCACAGGTCAAGAACTTCGAATGATACAGCCCCAACAACTCCATAGATGGAGGACAGGGGCCTTTAAGAGAGTCTTGGGAGACAAGTACTCTTTTTAAATAAAACATTTCCCCTCCGCTGTCACCCTCTGGACACTGTGTGTTTCAGGCAAACTAAAGGCTTGATGTGATCTAATGGCTTTCTTAATTATGATGACGCCAAACTGGGCTTAGCAGGATTCCAATGAATTGGAATCTGATGGAGTTACAACAATTGGATGTGTGGACTTTTTATGGCTGGAACAGACAAGGAAACCTTTGCGAGCATGGGGCTTTATCTGTCACACAAAGCTGACAGGCTTCTGCTACACTTTCTCTCCTTGTTCTCTTTCCAGTTATTGAATCTCTAACCAGGCCACTGGGAGGCTGTCGTTTGAGTCCAGAAAGCCTCATTGTTTCCGTCCTGAACTAAAATAAAACAGCGAGCGAGCACAGAAAGCCATTGTCAAGGAGGCTGGAGAGACTTTTGGATGATAGATCAGACTTTCAGTTTGACTGTTGTGTGTATTTGGGATATCTATTTTTGTGTCAACATACCTCTGTGCTGTTGGAGCACTTTCGAAGAAGTTCCTGTTTAAAAAGAGGGAATAATGTTTTATCCCCAACAGTCTGTTATTCAACCAATAAATATCACATTCTTAAAACTATCTGAAGAACTGTATGATGATTAACTATTTTCAGTGCAAAATAAGTGCAGAAATCCTCTCAAACAGATGAGGAATGTTACCTCTAACTTCTGGACTCTCTCCTCGTCATTAGGCAGGTCGATCAAATCGTCAATGTTAACCTCGTCTGGCATGTCACTCTCCTTGAGTCCAAACAGAAACACAGACTCAGGCATTAGCAAAGGAGAAAAAAGAACAGAAATCATCACCTGGATTTATCTGAGCTGATACATGAGAGCTTCTCCAGGTCTGTGTGAGATGGACAAAAAGCTACTCTACCCTCGTTATTATGTAATGAGCTTCTCACGTCTTCAACAGATCTGAAATGATGCATCCTGCTGTCGCATTTCAGCCAGGTCCAATAATCAGAAATGTTCTATTTTTAATTCAATTTTAGACATAGAAGCTTCATGTTACAGTAATATACGTGATGAGAAATTGCAGCGAGGGGGGTAAATATGTGGATAATTCTACTGGTAAATGATACAGAATGAGCTGCTCACTGAATTAAATATTTTCAGAGCCAGAAGGCACCAAACAAAGTGACGAGGCTCCATATTCCAAAGTGGTTTCTTAAAAAACATTGTTGCGACCACTGGATGAGGCCCAGAGTAAAACCCGGACTGATCAGCTGTTTATCACAGAGATAAAATGCACCAAAGCAAACCAACATTTGGGCCAATCCGGAATGATCATTTAAGCTGCCGTGCAAGTTTTTCGGGCTGTGGGACGAAGACTACAGATGCACAGAGAGATCAAGCAACCTCCACACAGCAGGTGTTTTAGGTACTATGATCTTTCCCGTTCACAATGAGAGAAACACGCTAGAACCTGAATACATATCGGCTGGTTTAAAGATCGGCTGGAGTTTCCAAGAATATCAACATGTAACGATGCCTCTAAGATAAAAAAGGTAAACCTGGACCAGTACAACTCTCGGATTAGTCCAAAACAGGTTAGCAGTGAGGATGATGGAAGGCTCTTCTGGCATTCTGTTGCTACATTTTGCCATTTGGACTTAAAGAGTGTCTTTAAAGTAAGACTTTCTGTGCTCTTTGTTTCACTGTGGGACCATCAGTTGCATGCTCGGGCTCAGGAGGCTGAATAGTAATAACGCTGGCACAATGCTGTGACAATGGCCAGCTCTGTGGGAACAGAGAGCCATTGTGGCGGCTGAGAGAAGCCATCCACACCACTGCTCTGCTGGTGTGGTGCGGCTCTTGGCACACACGGGACGGCGGCTCCACGAATCCAAACACATAAAGAGGGTTTTTTTTTTCCTCGAGCTGCTCCTACACAGAATGAGGTTTGGGGGTGTAATGGCTTAGTTTGCATTTTCCAGTCAATGTTCCTTCCATCCTGACACGGCCCGGCCTCCCAACAGCTGCCGGAGCAGCTGGATACACGCTGTTTACCTTTTCCCTGGGCACCCAGCAACGCCTCCCGCCCACCCCCTGCTTCCACTTCTCCATCATTCACATCCCCGTCCCTGTTCCACGCTGCCCATGTAAGGGCAGAAGGCCCCAAGTCAGATCCAGATCTGTGAGAAGGAGACGGCCGTGGACATGGAGTACACAGAATGCTTGGCCTTGTAAGGAGAATCAGGCTGCTCCATCTAACCCCTCAACACCTCATCCATCACTGGAGACACGAAGAGGAGTCCTGTTAACGTCTCCACCGCATTAATCCCAAGTACGACTCATATTTCTAATTTCCCATCTCATTTAATTTGTCTCATTCTAGAAAAAGATTATGCACAATTAATGACATAATAATAGTATTCCACCGGGCTTGCTTGTGAGCATGCAGAGTGGTGAAACACTCAACAGTCAGAGCTCCGGTCTGAGGACGCATCCACCGACCTGACCCTTGTACAGCCGGTCCAGACTCTCCTCGATCCACTTCTCCACGTCCAGCCGCCGCTGCAGCTCCTTCCTGTTGTACTTCACCGTGACCCGGGCATGCCTCTTCGGGATGTTGCCCCTGTTCTCCTGAAACGAGCCCAAGTCGGATGAATGAAACTCGTCGTTTTCTTCGAGCGTGGTCGGGGCTCCGTCGGCAGCCATCCCTGCAGTGGGCTGCTCCGGCTGGTTTCGGGTGTTTTTCTGGCTCAGGGGGCAGAGACGGCCGCTGGGAGGCGACGAGGGTGCGCACACAGATCAGCGGACCTTTTTTTTTTTTTTTTTTTTTACTTTCATGTCTCTCCCCCCTCAGCTGGGGCTTCTTTATTTACACCACTTTGTAAATAAATAAGATCCAAATGTGGAAACGTACTATTTGTCATAAAAAATGACTTAACTGTCTGTTAGTTTTTTTCTCTGGCAACTTTGTTTGCTTCGAAGAAAAGGTTGTTAATGGGCTTATGATGATTTAGATGGATAAATCAGACAGATACATTTTGTTACGATAGATAGATAGATACTTTTCTCTCTGAATTGTTGTGTAACATTTGGAGGCTGTGTACTGGTGTGTTTGTAAACACACAAGTACACACCCTTCCGTGGGAAATTCTAGGAAATGTGAGTCTGAGCTCTTATCTGAATTTTTTTTGCTAATTGTTGTTGAACATCCTTCCTGTACGGATGTGTTTTTGTCCCTCTGTAATCACATCACTTGCTTTCAAAAGCCAGAGCTCATAGCTTCTCTGCTCAGTTTATGCCAGACGTGTCACAATGTTTTGTGTTACAGTTGTGGAGGGGAAACTAAAAGCAGATTCAGACTCAGGAGAAGCCAGTTCAAAGGAAACCCATTTGTTAAATTAAACAAGCGTCACCGCAGTACCAGGGAATACAAATCAAGCACACTGCCTCGATTTGAACATAAATATCAGCATACCACTGTGAAACATAACACAAAAACACTCTTAAGTAACCATGAGGACCTCACGTTGGATATTTGAAACCACTTTGCATGCAGAGCGTCATCAGGGGCCTCAGGGCAGGTGTGCTCATTAGCTAAGTGAACTCAGGTGTGAGGTTTGATCAGCTGGTCCAGAGGACACTGCTAACTGCTCCTAAGCTCTCTTTCATACCCTCACTGAAAAGTGTCATGACTCCAAGGAAAAACACACAAAAAGTACAAACCACCGTGTTTAAAGAAAAAAAACTGTCGATCCTTTGTCTAAGGCACATTTAGTCCAATGATACAACAATGCCTCGTTTTTATATACTTGGATAAGCTGCAATGAACCGTTGGATAAGATCTGTGTTTCTGGTGTTAGAAAAGTTAAAGGAGCTGTGGAAGATCTTTATCCAACTCCTCAGCACTGCTTTCATCCTTCCAGGTCGCTTCCAGCAGGCAAGATTTATCATAAGCAGCAAAGCATTATTTTCATAAGATCCAAGGATACGAAAAACAAACCCCTCTTCAGCAACAGCCTGCTAACCTGCAGCCAGGAATACAGCGGGAGTCACTCCTGTTTTTCTATCCATCATAAACGGCAACCTCTGGTTAGGCCCTAATATGGATTGTATCAGCTCTTTTCTGTAGAATGAAAAGACATTAAGCTCTTAAGACCAAAATAATGTGCAGATCTATTATCCATCAATCAACGATGGTCCCAGTTAGGAATAAAGAAAGAAGTCAGAAGTAAAAAAGATGTCATAAAAACTTAAAATATTAATTTTAACAATATCTTAATTCCATTAAAATGGTCTATCACAGCAGAAACTGGATAGATATTCTTCAGGATTTTCTGTTTTTCTCAGTTTGGTGGCTTCATAAATTGGATATATTTGCTAAAAGGACATTCAAGCTGTAAACCCCTATTTAAGTGCAAAAAACTTTGAAATGATACTCAAACATTGCCTTTACCATTCAAACTGGGACTGTCATGAGTCTCAAACGTGTGGAACAGACGCTTAAATCCAAAATCACATCAGAGTGAATCTTTTATTCCACATCACAACCACAGCAAGATGAGCTTAAATTATATGAATGAAAAGATGTAACACAACTCAAACTTTGGCATGAACAAAATAATGGCACATGAGAGAGCAACATAATCGGTCATAGATCGCACATTTATATATATCAATTACAGGAAGGGCTGACTCAGCAATAAAGCACATTTCCTGATATCCCCACACCATCATCTTTGGGATATCTCACACAGCCCATTTACAACTTCAAGCGTCGGCCTTCATTCAGCATCAAATAAATATATATATCTACATCTGTGACAGTCAAAGTGAAGCCTTAAACACAAGTTTATAATAAATAAATAATATAAAGAATAAAAAACTGATGGTACGCACAATAAGGAAATAATGACCAAAGGAAGATTGAAAAGCAAAAAAAAGGTTTTGTAATATAAAAAAAGGAATAAAGTGAATATATGTAAGGGAATAGCCCAATAAACATATGTGTGGACTCGGTTTCCAAAGGTGATCTGACTATCGTGTCTCTTCCTGTATTTGGTTAGTGTCGTAGGTCCTATGAACAGTGGGTCACGTTATTAGTCTCTTTGGGTCTTAAACATGAGAGAGCATAGCCCCATAAACTTTTTCCAAAAAAAATCTTCGTAAATCATCTGTCAGAATTGTTCATTTGTCAGAAATGCGCTTTTTACAACGACAGTTCTGCGGTTTATGCTTCTGCTCCTCTTTGAACTCTGTTTCTAGGGAGAGGAGCAGCAAGTGCTAAAATGTTTCTTCCCCTGTTTGAACTTTTGCATTTTTTTTTTGTTTTTGTTTTTCTTCTCCAGGCTTCATCTGAGCCCTGCTCCTGAGCCCAGCATGGCCTCGTCCCTCCACATGAAGTCCTGCCGCTCGGCCCTGGCCAGGCCGCTGTCCGGGGGGCTGTGCCTGTAGGCTGACCGGTCCTCGGGGCAGAGGGAGAGGCTGAGGCGAGCCGTGCTGTTGCTGATCTTGAACAGCCCGTTGGGACCCAGGAAGGCTTCCCTCTCGTTTCCCCCCAGGTTGTTGACCGTCTCCAGGTCGTTGTAGACCGCGCTGTCGCTCAGCTGCTTCCTCCCCTCCATCCGCCGCCGCCTCCTCAGGAAGACGATGGCCGCCACCAGAAGCAGCACCAGGACGGCCAGAAGGCAGGAGATGGTGAGGGTGGTGGAGGAGGGCTGGGAGGAGGCCTGGCGGAGAGCGGGCTTGAAGCTGGGCTGCAGCGTGAACTCGCAGCTCGGGCCCATGAAGCCCTTGGGGCACTGGCACACGGGTCCGGTGAAGTGTGTGAAGCAGGTGCCGCCGTTCTGGCAGGGCCGCGCGCCGCAGGCGTCCGAGCGCACGCTGCAGTTCTTGCCAGTGTACCCGAGGGTGCAGGAGCAGGTGTAGTCATTCACACCGTCTTGGCAGGTTCCAGCGTTCTGGCAAGGACTCGAGGCGCAATCGTCCACGTTGACCTGGCAGTTGGCGCCGGTGAAACCCGCCTGACAGCGGCACAAGATACTCTGGCCCAGATCCAGACACTCGCCACCTGTGGCAGGGAGAAACACTCAGCTCAGCATACCAGAGATAAAAGCCGTCCAATCTTTTAGAAGGGAGTGCTAATTAGATTAGTTTTGCTCCGAGGGTCATCGTGTAAAAGTGCAAACACCAACAGCCTCTCGCTTAAAAAAGAAGTCGCCATGAGGCTGCCGGTGCGCACTTTGGCCACGAGGTGGCGCCAGAGGACAGGCCCGTCCGCTCACCGTTCATGCAGGGCTTGTTGCTGCAGCGGTCCAGCTTCTTCTCGCAGTTGGAGCCGGTGTAGCTGGAGGGGCAGCGGCAGGTGTAGCCCCCGGTCATCGTCTCCACGCAGGTGCCGCCGTTGAAACAGGGCCCGTCCGCACAGGTCATGGCGATGATCTCGCAGTTCTTGCCGTAAAAGCCCTGCGGGCAGGTGCAGGAGTAGTCGTTCTCCAGGTCCTGTAGGAGAAGAAAAAAGGCTTTAGGTTAAGGATAAAAGATGGAAGAACGGTGTGCAGTTCATATTGGAAGTGATTTAAAGTATGGACAGAGTAGAAATATGTAAGGACCCAGTTTCATCCATTTCCGTTATAAGTGCTACTTTAACTAAGTTGCCTCTTGTGATTTTATTTGTCTCAAAAACTGGGCATGCTTGTTGTGTTTAGTTTGTTTGCTTTCCCTCAGCCTCAGTGGCTGGGATGCGTGAAGCTGTGGGGAGTCACCACTCACGTTGCAGCTGCCTCCATTCTTGCAGGGGTTGCTGTCGCACTCGTTGGTCTCCAGCTCGCAGTTGGTGCCCCCAAAGCCGGGCCGGCAGGTGCAGGTGTAGCTGCCCTGGCCCGTGTTGGTGCAGGTGGCCCCGTTGGCGCAGGGCTTGTGGTTGGTGCAGTAGTTGAGGTCCTGGTCGCAGAAGAGGCCCCCCCAGCCCTCCTGACAGTTGCACTGCCACGGCTGGCTGCACGTTCCGTGGAGGCAGCCCGGGTAGCGCACGCATTGCTTACAGGAGGGGCCCTGCCAGCCCATGCGACACGTACAGCCCCCCGGGGCCTCGCAGTAGCCATGCTTCTCACTGCAGTCCGCCGAGCAGATGGCTGTGGGGGAGAGGGGGGGGGGGAGGGTGTGTGATTACAATGGGCATGGCTTCATACAAACACACACACACACACACATGTGCAGGGCCCCCGTCTGCACCCTGCCCTGCCCCAGACTTCACTGTTGGTTAAGTATTAAGCCAAGCAGCTGGTAGGCACGCTGCCGAAGAAAAATGCTTTCTTTTATCTCATTTCCATAACACACACACACACACGCACAGCAGACACACACACAGTCTTTGTCACGTACACAAACCCGCCCAGATCACCTTGAAAAATGTGTGCGTCTAACGGGGGCCGCTGCTCTTTCTCTCATTGTAACAGAACAAAAGGCAGATGGGACAGCAGAGCGTCTTGCAAAAGACTAACACACAATGTCACCATTTCAGATAAAAGAAAGAGATCAAACACCCACAGTGAGCTGGGTACTGAGAATAAAACAGATTTCATTTCCATCTTTACAGTTCTTCAGTCAGTTCACTGACTTCATGAGGAAAGAAAAGGCTTCCCTGCAAATGTTGTGTCTGTTAAAGCTTCTGTTTTGTGTCTTGAGTACAGAACGACTACATGTACTTATCTTTAATGTCACTGATGCCTGTTTCAGTCAAAGACGACTTTACACTTTAAGATTTGGTACACTTTCTATTTTCAGTGTTTGATTCAATCCTTATTCTGAACTTTTACTTTTCACATTTAACCCATCTGCCAATGCTGAATACTTTTAAGCTGATTACCTCATCTAATATTAGGCTATTTGTCATTTAACCATACTTTGGACGCTTCTTCCTGAGTTTTTAGACGGATTATACGAATCTGAACATACCTACAAACAAATTATGGGAACTAATCTGTAAATGTTCATGTGTGGGGAACGTCCTGAGTGTTATCTGTGGACATTATACATTGTCACTGTTTCCTTTGTCTTCGGGCAAACCTAACCAGGGAGAGCCTGAATGGGTCTGGAAGACTTTCACAAAGGAACTTCATTGGTACTGTACACTCACGCTCAGAACAGTAGTTTCCTTTCCATCCCTCCAAACAGATGCGGTTGCCCTCCTCGTCGCAGGTGTAGTGGCCCAGCGTGTCGTCCCTCGGCCTGCAGTAGTCAGCGCAGCCATCTCCAAAGTAGTACTCGTCACAGAAGACGTGGTAGGAGTAGCGCAGCTCGCTCTGCTCGCCAAAGTGCACGTCCTGGGACCAGTCCTCACCGATGGCGAGTCTCCTCCGTGTAGCCAAGCGGCTCACGAGGTTGTTTTGGTTGTCTGCAAACGAAATGGAAAGTTAGGACCCTCATTTGAAAACCGGTGTGTACGTTTAGTTTCACTCGGTGATGAGTCAAATAGATTTTAAACAACCCACCTGTGTACTCAGTTGGTGATTCTGCGTTCCATGCTTCAATAATCAACGAAAATGTCCCCTATATCACAGGAAAAGAAATGACATTAAACCGCTGCCGTGGTAGTGTTTTGCTCATGTCGTTGACAGGTTAAACAATTACTAACTATAATTTCTGGCACCGCTTAATTGTGGCATTTACCGGCCATTTGAAGTGAAAGGGCACCCTGATGGGAGCACTGCTAGAGATCGACGTGTGATCTGCCCTGATCACGTTCGTGTGTCCGGTGCCGAAGGTGCAAGGAGGCTCCGCTGAGATCACATCCTCTGGGTGTTTAAGGCAAATTCTGAAAAATATGTGACAGTCTCTGTGCCTCCTGCAGATCCGCTGGGCCGTGTGGAATGAATGAATCTTCAGCTCAAACACGCCGGAGGACAAAACCTGCAGGGACAGAGAGGTGGTCAAACAGGTGCCCAAAAGCATGCTGACAAAGCATTTTGAGCGTAATAAGAGGTCAACTTACAACGTTCACCAAGGCCAGAGCCAAGAGGTATCTCAAGTGTAAGTTTGCCATTTCTTCCTGAGGTTTGTTTTCCTTCCTAACTGGATGTCTTCATTCGTGGTGCGCAGCAATAATCCAAAATTAAAGAAGACTCAAACACAGTAAAAGCTAATTCTCTGAAAAATCTTTTTGACTCTAAGGGCCGGTATTCCTTTTGGAGTGTACTAATCCTCCTGGTAGTTTCCCCCTTATCCCTCGGAGGTGGCTCTAACTTGTTTTGGTTCTGGTGCGTAAAGGCGCAGGCTGGATTTATACCCACTCTTGCCGCGCGTCACATGCAGGGAGGTGGGGCTTCAGGAGACCTCAGGGGAGCAGCCTGACACGCGAGCGGTGCGTGGGGGATTTAGACAGCCCACCTTACATCTGGACCAGAGTCTTAGGAATATGCATGAGAAGCTGCCGTGAGGCAGACGTGTCTGGCTGTGGGATTGTTCGTTATTATCGAAAGTGGTGCGCAGAAATGTCACAAAAGGGGCGATCTTTGCCCATTTCTAAAGTTTTAACAAGCTATGAAAGTTCGAAACACGACGAGTTAAAATGTTTAAGACGTTGGTTTGTTTGTTTTTTGTGGGGGACAAATGAAATAGACAATAACAAACAAAGTTTTCCAGCTTTCGCTGATTTACGAACATTCTGCTTTTCTGTTCTTAAATTGAATGAATCTCATTTTCTGGGATCATTTCGTGAGGCGTTTTTTTTTTATTTCTGGATGTTTCAAACTCTAAACAAAGACGGGAGACGGGTAGAAGAATAGGAGGCAGGCGCTCTTTCTTTACAGCCAACATCGTAATTGCTCTGACGCGTGTGAGGTGACAAAGAGTGGGCAGGTCCCGGGTAAGACTTTATTGTGCGTTTAGCGTTTTCTGTTGTGTACCTCAGCCTGGGGGAGGTAGAGAGGTGGGGGGGTGATCTGAGTTGCCCGTGTGTGTGTGTGAGCGAGTGTGTGGAGGGGGGTTGAGCTATCATGTTGCTTTTGTCTGGATCTCATATGAACAGCTGTATGATAATCAACGGCACATGGTCGACCTTGTGGGGCGCCATACTCGGCTATTGTGTCCCCGAAGCGTCTCCTCACAGCACAAACACACACACACACACGCGTGAACACACACACACTAACCGCTGACCCCTTATTGATTTCGGAAGAGACGCAGTTGGCTGTAGAGCACCTGTCGCTGGCAGAGGACGTGATGCAAAGTAAACACACCTAAGTTGTTTGCCCACTAACACAGTGGAGCTGATCCACCTTTCAGCCTCAGGACAGATCTTTATTCTCCAGTTTGATTAAGCAACAGCCTCAAAGTTAAAGTGTGCCATGGAGTAAATCATTAACCGGTTTTATTGTGTTATTTATAGCCGTTAACTGACTTTATTGGGTACCCAGAATGTGATTGCCATTTAAATAATCGAAGTTTTTAAAAACAAAAAGTGGAAAAATTCAGATGTAGCATGATGAGGCGAAACGAGTCAAAGATTGCATCGTGTCATATCGAACGGTTTCGCACTAAAAACATGCCGGGCTACGGGCTGAAGGGATGCTGGGGGGTTGGGGATCTATTGATATTAAAACGAGGGGAAAGGGGGGACGCGTGCCTTAAGTGGGCCCCTGGATATCCTGGCACGCTTCTCTGCAGAAGAACAAGAACAATACAAGCAGGAAGCACAAAGCTTCCACAAAGCGCGCACAAAGTTAGCAGGGAGAGGCAGCTTGACATGTCAAATGAGTGGCCCAGCTATTCTTCAACCAGAGTTTCAAAGACATCAAAACAATTCTTTAAGAACCCTAGATCTTAAACAGGAGTCCCCTACAGAGGCAGGGCAGTTTTGCTTTGTGTTGGACAGGGCAGGCTCAGGGAGGCTGTGGAGGTTCGGAGGCAGACCAGTTCAATGGCATTTGCCTCCCGAAGCCTTCATCCTCACAGGTGAACGCTGCAATTTTGTCATGATGCTTAATTTTTTTCATCTTTGACTATCAGACAAAATTTGATAGTTTTCTAAGTTTTCAAATAATCATGTTATTGTGTTCTGCAGGAAGACGGATCTATTGTTATCATATGGGGAAATACTTCTCTTTTTAAGAGGACTGCTCATTGTGGAGAGATTCATTTTTATGTTTTAGGAATAATTTGGACCTTGTGGTGCCAACATGTTTTAATTAAATACATTTTAAATACAGAGAAACTGCCCTCATATGAGGAAAAAACACTTCCTGTACAATGAGTTTAGTTACTAAACTTATGGTCCTGTTTTGTGTTTTGTGTGCATTACCCTGAATAAAGCGTCCTGGAGAAGGCTGTACAGTCCTGCGTTCGTCTTTTGATCCAAAAAACAAACTGAGCTTAAAGCCACCAATTTGTGTATTTTATGTGGGTCCAAAATAACTTTTCAGTTATGCTTTTAACGCCCAAAACTACTTAAACCTCAGAAGTTTGCTTACAAACCGTGAGAGCTGTATTGCGGATTCTCGCACGGCTTCTCATGAGCCTCGTTTGTGTAAGATGGTGAGATAGAACACATTGGAGTTTTCTTACATCAATCAGATGAAGTTGCTGCTTAACCCAACCAGGTGTTGACAGTAGAGATGACACCTGAGGATTCATCAAGCCACTCATTTGGTTGTTTTTACTGCAGGATTTGCATAATATTTTTTAGGAAGTTATCAAAAGGAGCAAAGTAATAAACCTGATCAAGAAAGGATGAGAAACGTATGACAGACCTACTGTCTTCCAAATGAAAAATACCTGAAGCTTTATCTCTTTATTTGACAGGTGAAATCTTTGCCTTTTGATCAGCATTAGATTTTTTTAATTAAAAACGAACCATTTAGAATTGAACATTTTACAAACTAACAGTATTTCCCTTTTGTTTCATAATTAGATTATTTCAATATTGTATTATATTTTGTATTTAATTAATAACTGTTGAGTAAATAGGCACAAAGTTCACTTCTTCCTGTATGTCGTCCTTCATGTCGAGCACGATTTCGAAACGGGGGGACAGGCCGGAGCATTGGGAGCCTAGAGCGGAAAACATCCAGCACATCTGAAGCATCCCTCTGAGGATGAGGCTGCTGGGGTCTTTGTGCGAGCCGAGCAGATGGCCTCTGCGCCCTATCTGCTCTTATCGTCTGTATTACTTGCAGAAGTGTGACACAAGTGTGCCACGGGGCATGGGAACCTAAGAGGAGTCCTGTCATCCCCCACTCCCCGGACCTCCCATCACTTTGAGAGGCCGGCATCTGCCTCCTCGCGGGCCCTGCAGCAGCTTGAAGGTTCTTCTCCCTGAGGACAGCGGGAGAAAGAGAGGGGAAGCTGCAGCAAATCTGACCCAGGCGGGCCCTCGGGGGAGAAGTCGGCCTGTTGTGGCCACTTCTGCAGCTCCAGCCTGCTGCCCGTCTGTCTGTGGGACAAAGGGAGGTGTGGAGGGGCTGTCTGGTGGATGGTGTTCTGGCTGTGTGTGTGTGTGTGTGTGTTTGTGTGCAGGCGGCCTCAGATTTATGCACATCATTCGGTTGATTGGTTGATCTCATTACGATTCTGGATGCTCCAGCTCTGTTCGGCACCAGGAAACGCACATCACCCTTCCACGTGCGCCAGTAAATATTCTGTATGTCAAATCGTTTTTATCACCAAATTCAGAAACACAAACTTCCTTCATTCCTCTTCCAGTCTTGCAGGACCATCATATGCTCAACAGCATATGAGGTCCCAAGCATGTCATATCTAGTCTCAGGCAGTCTGAGGGGCTTGCTGTGTTTGTTTTGCCAGTATCCTTCTCGACTTGAACCCTTTTCTGCTGCGTGTCTCTTTGGATAATGTATTTACACACTTGGCACATGTGGCTTCTGGGACATTTGCCCATTCTTCAAGCAAAATGAGTTTCAGCTCCTGTGTGCAGAGACAGCTCAGCGACTCGGAAAATATGCTGGCATCCCACGTCCCTGGAAACCAGAATTATTTTCCATGTTTACATTCCTTGGACAAAGAACCCAAGACACTGTTGTTTTTTCTGGAAAGTTCTGGTTGACAAAGTTGTGTCTAACTATTTTGTTGTTGATGTATTATGATATTATTCAAAAGCCTGACGAGGGTAGTATATGTTTTATATATCTCTCATTTTAATACATAAAACCCGACTGATCTCACTTAGAGACTTGGCAGCTGATGGAAGCTGTGTCCATTTTTCAGTGTTGACAGTCTAATCTACTTTATCCTAATGACCACATGTGTTTGAGTTTCTCCAGATGGTCTTAAATTGGTTTCTCCAGACATAAAACCTGCCGGGTTTCCCAGTCCTGTAATGGAATATCAAAGCGGCTGAATCCCAAACTCCTTACATCCTCTGATCCTTTTGCATCAGGATTCTTGCTCGTTATAGATCAGCTCTCCACAAGGCGAAGAATGCATGGAGAAGCATGGCGTCTGCTGCTTTACCAAGTAATAAAATGTACCGATGCCTCTAAACATGAAAGAATCAAACCTGTTTCGCTGAGTCACTGTTAAAGTCGCAGATTCCCCTTAAAGCAGAGGACCTGATGAGGGAAATCAAACTGAACTTGCAGTAGATGCATAATTACTCTTTTGTCCTGACACAAAAGCAGCCGTAAAAACGATTCAATCCCTTCCTTCAAACCCACCTTTTTGGAGGCGCTCTCCTCCTGCGGCCTCTGTGGCAGATGGGAGATGAAAGAGGGAGCTGGGAGGAACGAGGGAATGACAACAGGTGGGGGTGAAAACCAAAGAAAAGGGAAGGCCACAGGGGTCAGTGGGGCAGTGGGAGGGGGGATGTAACTTACATATAGACTCGCAGAGGGGTAGATCGATGGATGGATTTTTCCCTTTTTATTGTATTTCGCTAAGTCCGACCTGTTGTGCCATATGTCCCCCAAACGGGAAATATTTCTCGAAGGGTGGAATTTAGTGGAAAGGCAGAGTTAGTGGAAAGTATGCAAAGGCTTTATTTCGTCTTCTCTGTATTTTTTTGTTGTTCCTCTTTTTAAATGACATTATCTGCACAGAGTTTCTTTAAGTGTTCTGTATTCTGTTTGGTTCTGTGTATTGAATCTTTAACAGGACGGATCTGCAGCCTATGAAGGTATTTCATTATCAAAATGCAAATTTGGCCAGGCCGTTCTCTTTGACGGTAAAGAAGGAAAGGTTTCCCTTTATCCTGCACAGAGGCGTGAATAGAGGCCTACAGTTTGAGAGGGATGCCACGGCGCCCATTCAGAGGGGCTTAAGTCTCAGGTTTAAGGGCCTGGAAAGAATTGAAGGTAAAAGGGCTGCTCACAATGTGAATACAGCTGCCTATGAAGACCCCCCCACACACACACACACACCCACACACACACACACACACACACACACACACACACACACACACACACACACACACACACACACACACACACACACACACACACACACACACACACACTCAGGACAATAATGCTGCCCCCTGCCTTTCAGCCACAGAAAGAAAAAAGAAAAAAACTAGCAGATTGCTGAACTTCTGCTGGAGCACCCCCCACCCCCACCTCCACCCCCCAACCCCAACCCACCCCACCCGCTGCGGCACGCCAGCCCAACCCTGGCAGCTGTTTAACTGACTGAGACTGAGGGAGGCAGAAGGGGCTGCAGGGGAACAATACAGAGTGATTTAACCATCCCTCCTTCTGATGTGTGTGTGGGGTTCACGCTGCAATCATTAATGCAGAGACCGCACGGATCAGACTAACCCCAACAAACCCCCAACAACACACACACCTGTGCACTCGTCACACAATATGGAAGCGGAGCCACAATTCATCTGTAATTAGGAACACAGAGAATGTGTCATTTACTGTAAGTACGATTAGGGTAAAATGGAAGCAGGATGCAATGTTCTGTAAATCTCAGAAATTATTATTCTATTCATCATGAAACGGAGAAACGAAATCAAACACTGAAATTAGGACATTTATTGTTCTGTGATAAAGATTACCTCATATTCAGGTCAATGGTAGCATTGCAAATTGACTTGTGATTGGTCAAGAAAAGGCTGAAATGGTCAGTGGTTCTGCACAGAAACAGCAGACATTACAGGATGCAGCCGGCCATCGGGGGGGGGGAATTATGGTACAATTTCAGGATAATATTCCTCCATTTTTCATCATTCAAAGTAAATAATTGCTCCAAATCTCAAGACACCGCTGTCTCCTCAAAGAAAAAAGATGTTGTGCTTGTCCAGGTGAAAGCTGAAAGGTAGAAACTGCTCAGAGAGAACACGCTCCCATCTAGATGGCGTCCTCTTTTGGGAAGCAAGACCACACGCTGCATGGTTTTTAACAGCTCACTGCTTGTGAAAAATAAGAAGAAAAAGGGAATGATGAGCATCTTATACAAAATTATCCGTGTCTTCACCTGTTTTTCTTACTTTTTGACTCATACGGCCTTTAATCAAACAGTCTGTCATTTCTATCTCAGTCAGCTCATGACTTTTCCACTGTTGTGTTAGGCTGACTTTTACTCGGCATGTTGGCTAAAGGCACTTTTAATTTGACTCAGGGCACAAGTTACAACATGATCAAAGCAGGATGCATACCAACATAATCGCTCCATCCTGATGAAGCAGAGCAGAAACAAAAGGAGTTACACCAGCAATCCAGACGGTTGTTTTTAAAGTTAACAAAGAAAACAAACGGAACAACTTATGTTTTCATTCACTCAGAACGACACAATCAGGCTTGTAAGACTGCTCGTCAGCGCTCCCTGCTGGGACCCCTATGGCACTACAAATCTAGCAGGAAAAGTTACTTTTCAGAGAAGTTCAAACATTGTACAGAATGTCAAAGCTGTATTTTTCCCACAAAGTTTCACATCATACACAGATTTTTTATTTCATATATCTACGTTATTATCAGGAGAAAATGTATCTGATGGTTTGGTTTCCTGTAGGTAATTTTCTATCTTTGTATACATTAATCAGCTGAAACCTCCTATAAGTCTTATAAGTGTTGTCTTTATTACACTTCAAACCGTCGCACTTATAGCTTTTGAAGCTGGAAATATTCTACAATCATAATCTAGCTGAAATGTGCTAGAAAATTGCTGTGAAGTGGAAAATTGCACCGGAGCTTGTTGCATTCAACAAGCTCCCAGCTGCAAAAATGAGCTCAGCTTTTCATCACATTAGCATTTATTCCATATTTTAAAGAACTTATTAAAACTTTTATATTCAAGTTTTCATTTTGGAAATATAAAAAAAAACAAAGATCAGACAGTCAACAATTTCTTCACCAACAGTTATTCTGAATGTGTCTAACACACCTTGTTTAGCTCAGACAAAAGGACCATACAATGGTCAGGTGCAGATGTCCACTCGACCGTTACAGTAAACGTGGTCATCTCCAGTCTGATGCAACACAAAACTACAACAAAGAGACCCACAAATTCTTTACATAATCACATTAAGGACTGTACAGACTTTCCGCATGGCGTTAACTTAATAAAAAAATGTGAGTCTCACTTTCAGTAGCAAAAAAATAAAAAGAGAAATGTCCATGGTCTTTCCTTATGGCTAAAATTAGCGGTTTTCTCAGAGTACTTTCATGTAACCACACAGAAAGCAATTCCACCCCAAAAAAGTGTTTCTACCAATAAAGTTTTAAAATATAACCACAGAAATCTGTTCTACCAAAAAAGTACAGTGAGCAGAGGTGGTGTCCAACAGAGCTTTCTAGTCTGGCCCTCTGTGAAGTCAGTGATACAACTCTGCATCTCCACCTGTCAGTCCTGTTATAATGCCGGCCGGCCGTTCAGCTTGTCGTGCATGAGCGCGATGGCTCCGCCCGTGAAGTCTCTGAGAACCTGCACCGTCTCCCGCTGGAGCTGCAGCGACTCGCGCACAAACTCCTGCTGAGTCTCCGCCAGCTGCTGCACCGACTCCGACAGAAGCTCCAGGGAGCGCGAAACAGTCTCCAGCAGGACGTTGGTGGCGTGCTGCTCCTGCAGGCTGAGCGCTGCGTTCTGCAGAATGCCGTCCCTCGTGGTCGGCAGCGCCTGACCCGCCACGGGAAGCGTGGCCGCTGAAGCCGAGGGTCCAGAGGGCGCCTTAGGTGGCACTTGTTTTTGGACACCGTTGTTTATTTGATGATCTTCCATTGTCTTTGTTGCTGGAGCTGAAGATAGCACATCTTCCCTTTGATCATCGTCTGAATCGCCAAATGCCGTCTCAGCATCTTGACATCAAGGAAAATGCGCCATGCTAGTGATTTTTAAGAAACAACTGATTTGATTTAATCTGAAGATCATCAACTTACCTTCTGTTGGAGGTATTTCATATTGCACATCAAAAGCCGGCTGTGACAAGTCCCCTGCAACATTTAGAGTCATTTTAAGCCTTTACAGTCATAACACTACTTAAAAACTGAAAACTGAATCACATTTATGCAGAAAAAGGTCCAAAGATGTAATACTTTCAAGTAAAAGTTATCTGTTGTAACGTGTAACCATGTCAGCTGACCTGAAGGCACAGATCCCAGGTCCACCCCACCATTCGGAGAACTCTGCATTCCAATCATATCTTCCTCCTCCATGTCTTCTTCTTCGTCAGGGACATCGTCGTCATCCCCGAGGGGACCAAAGTCACCTGTACCCTGGTCTTTGTCGTTCATCTCCAGAATCTGGAGGACTATTTTCTCAGTTTGATTGAGGTCACGGGAGAGGCGGGAGTTAAGGCCCCTGTTGGGTACCGTCCCCGACCGCATGGCAGCCACTTTCCGCTTGGTGTCACACTTCAGGTCCGACCATTTCTTGATGACTTCAATAATTTCCCGTTGACACTCTCCGATCTCATTGACTCGAGCAGTAATCTCTGCCCACGTGCGTTTCTTCGTGTCCGTTGGCACTCCGCGATTGAATTTGCCTTTGAGTGAGAAGAAACACACAATAAAAAGAAAAAACATAAACCAGAGTTTGTTGGCTCCTCTGCACCGCACAACCCCTTCATCAATAGAAGTGATCATCTTCCCAGCACATAACACATCAGCACATACACGTACCCACAACAACTGCACGATGCTTCCTCACTTCATCCAGCAATATGTGAACTTCACTAAAAGAAAACCGAGCTTTTCTCTTCTTGAAGCGGGTAACACTGTCTTGGTTGTAGTATATTGACGAAGACATCCTCTACACACAAGGTCAGAAGATATCCAGTTGCTCTATGACTGCCCAGCTGTGTTTATGGAGGAAAACAGTCTGCCTGACAACAAACAAAAAGAGAAAAGGATGAATGGTTATTTAGTTTAACGTATGCAACTCATTTATTATGTGACAAACACAATGACTGCAGTGTTTTGGGTCTCAACACATCCTGTGGAACCCGTGCCAGGTTGGAAACCTCGAGTTAGCTGTCATCTGGCAACTTAATGCAGCCCAGACTGAGCAGCTGAGGACGTATATTCTGTTAATTAACTCATCTTAAAATTCATTAAAGTGTTTTATTGTAACGTGCACGAATACACATGACTCACGGTTAGTAGGGAAATACAACAGTAATAGTAAGCTCAAATGACTACAGAGAATGAACAATGGACGATATATGGACTCTTGATACACGCAGATAGCTTGCAACATGCAATTCACCCATAACTTTAGGTGAAATCTATACAGTCTAATAAGTGGAACTTGTGTAGACTATTTATTCCCTTCACACATCGGAAATACATTAAGCTAGTTCTCGTATAATGTTAAAGAACAACACCCACTATGAAGGCTAGCTCTCTGCACCAATGCTACATTAGCTAATGCTGCGTTGAGAAATGGTTAATGAAGCATTTTACTTAAGAAGCCACGCTTCAAAATGTATTCATTAATGGCAAAAAATAGCTAAGGGGACAATGAGCCTACCCCTAGAATTAAGACGATGCGTTTGGGTCACAAAGGTGAGGAAAACTTATCCTTATCGACAAGGTAGCAACAGTCAAGTTAGCCTGTGTGATGCTAACGATGAACAAAACATTTCCGGTTGACGTTAGCTCGCTCGGAAGAGCAAATATTTATTTTAAACACATACACATGAGGAAATATGACGCTATTGCTTTATGGATTTACACGTGATTATTTTTTGGAAATATTCACAAAAGGTTGTAATCATTACCTTTAAATATGTTCAAAGTGTATTTATTTTGAAAATAACAGCTACATCCGATAATGCAATAGGACGAACTGACAATCTTGAACGCATCCGAGGTGAATGGCGCATGCTCAGATAAGACTAGCACCGGTTTCCAGGTTATCCATAAAATGTTACAATTTTTAAGATTGTCAAAGTCTTCTGATATATGCTTTACATGCCAAATTGAAAACTATTAGAACATTAAGAATGGTTCTACGGGCTCTCTTTAGCTTAAATGAGAATCTATTTATTTTTTATTTTTGAATGACTCAAATGAGTCCTTCATGTATTAGCCACCAGTTCCCAAGAATTTAACAATACACTGTATATTTAATAGGTTCCTTTTATTCCAAATATGGCACAGAAATTCCTTTGACATGAGCACTTTGAGTAACAGTTTAGTGACTGTAGCTGGAACTACACGATTAAAACCCTCAGTAATAGAGCCCCTAGCACTGGCTTCATGCATTAGTGGCACACACATATATTCATAATATATATTCAATTCACAGATTGCACTGACACTCTGCCAAAGTGTACACTGATAAGCAAAGCAAGGCTGAATCGTGAGTCCAGAACATTAAATGGCCTGCCTAAATAAACATGGTCTTTTAGGATGTTAATACACATTTGTAGTAAGATATGTCGAGTACGCAATTCCACATTCTAAAATGAAATGGCCTAACTTTATAGAGAAGATCCATAGATTTCAACTAGCTATAAATTCAAGAAGAAGAGTGCAGTTCTGGTGCAAAACGTTTGTGAAAAAAGGTTCTGAGTGTACCATAACTAATGACTTAACAAAACCTTTCTTTAAGCAGTGATAAAAGGTGCTTGGTCATCCCACATTATTGTTTAAGTTAGTACAGATTTCTGCTCACTGGATTTAAAGGGTGATTTCAACTGTGAGAGGTGGGTAGTCCTCCGGTTGGGTAAAGCTTTGTGAGTCACAAGCTTCCAAGCATTAATGATTGCTCAAGGAATACCATCTCCCACAACAGGTCTAACAGGCCAATAGAAAAGACACATAGTTGTCACTCTAGAACTTTTTTTTAACACCCGCCCGTGTTTTAAAAGAGGAATCTTAACTGGGGAAACAGGTGGAAACAACTCTGTGGGTTAATGTTTGTGCTGCCATTTCATGCCTTAAACCTACGGTTTGTTGATGTTTTGATTGTGATTACTTAAGCCAACTCTCTCATCTTAGCTTTACAAAGAGCTGTAAGGTGTAAGTATTGCTTAAAATATTTGCATTTGGGGTGAAGATGGGAATATTTGAAAACTCCAAAATGCCCAATTGTGCTATGAGAACAACTGTCAGGTACAGAGAATATAAGAATATCAGAAAACAGTCAAAAACACTCCTTGTAAAACCAGCCACAGAGCAGTGCTACCTTCACATCAGATATGTCACACATTGACAGGTGTGGGGATTCTTGAGCTTGGACCGCCTTCTTTTATGCTATTTTTGACTAAACAAGCTGAAGAAATGACACATATTCAACATTAACACCTCTTCCATGATGGCTGAATTCCTGTCCGCCCCCTAGAGGAGCATTTTTTTCTTATCCTCAGCAGTGACTGCCGTTCTGCCTGCAGGTTTTCAATATTCTTTGCCAATTTTGTCAATTCTGACCCCGGTTCAGTAACTACCGATGCCAACCTGCACGCACAAGGGACTTTTAGTAACAGAGGAAGCGTTTTGGATTATGGATAAAACATTTGGGAATATGTGGCTACAGTGGTTTCATAAAACAAGCAGGCGGGGGTTTGTCAGGACTCAAGAGTACATGGTCAGCTGCAGCCACTGAAAGAGACAAGAGCAGAAACCGCTGAAACACACTACACATTTACAAAGTCTGAAGTCAAGTCAGAACGTCTGTTATAGCTCAGGTTTACCTCTTGAACATTGACTTTGATTGTCCCATTGTTGTCCTTATCCAAGGTTTTGAAGGCACCTACGCAGGATCAGAAATCAGAGTTTTATGCAAATCATTCTTTTCTTTGGGGTGATCTACAAATTAACAAAGGGCCCGTTGGGTTTGGGCCTGGTCTCTGAGACTTACGGCACATAGCATCAAGCCGCACCAGGCAGCCGATGTAGTTGTCAAAATCCATGTTCCCACTTTCGTCGCTGTATCTGCGAATGATCATCTGAAAGAGCTGATCATTGAGCGGGAACCCTGCGGATCAGACTTACATTTAGCATCATTACCGCTACTTTCACTTACCACTTTCAATTTGAGAAACCTGCGCTGCATCTAACTCTACAGTTTTTTTGGGGGGCTCTTCTTGAAGGAGAACAGCTGTGTAAGGGAGAATAAATAAATCCTCACCAGCAGCTCTGAAGGCATTTGGCAGCTCGTCCGCACCAATGGTCCCGGAGCCATCTCTATCGTATGTCTTATACACGCCCTGAACAGCAATCACACAAGTATTTCAAGGAGTTATTCCAGCTGACAGTTTTTGGAAGAGTGGCTTCAAAACCTAGAAAGAGTCACAAGGAAAAAAAAACAAAAAAAACACAAAGGATCTTCCTCTAACAGGCCCGACTGGTTGCCAACAGCTGCTTTATTGAATGAGAGATACATGAAAAATTCCTGAAAAAAGCTAATGACCACTTATGGTATTAAAGCTTCTCTGTCAGCTGATCTTAAATGATCTGCTTCACAGTGCGTCCAGGGCATTTATGGAAAACTTACAGGCCACATTCATGTCACACAGATAATCAAATGAAGGAAACTCTGCACAACCAAATCAGCTTGTGCTTTGTATGTTTTCAGCTCCACTTTTGTCTGACTTCAGTGCCGCTACAGGTAATCAACGCTGCCCACAGGGATGTAACAGATGCGTGGGGGAGAGGTACTGACCTGCCATTTTTTGATGTTGTTCCAGAGATGTTTGAATTCGTGGAAGCCTAGTTTCCCAGTGCTGTCGCTCTGAAACACGGTTAAAGGCAACAAGCAGCGATTCCATGTCTCTGCATTAAGGCTGTATTACTACTGCTATTACTATGCTTTGTGTTTGCCAAAGGTGTGTTTTTTCTGTCTTGTAACAGGCCCTTCACTCCACACTGGATTAGGCAAGACGTGAAGTCCACAAATGACAGAAAGGATACATCCATGACTGCCACCATGCTCCTGCAAGATTCAATGCTGAAACCGTCTGTCTTCAGGTCTCCGTCTAAAATACAAGTCAATCACTATGGGTGCAAATCTTTAAAAGATACACTGACATGAGAACTGAGTCACAGCAGAGGAAGAAGGACACAGCAGGCTAAAAAAAAAACAAAAAAATACGTGAATGGTGAACAGGATCTTACGCTTTCCAATGATTCTGTTCAGGATGTTCATCAGCTCAGATGGGCTCACCTCCATGTCCTACAAGACAAAAACAGAATAAGAAGAGTGGCAAACGCTATTAAGGTTCAACAGAAGTATTCATATCAAATAAAAGAAGGACAGATTCGGTTGTTACTGCAATCCACAGCGTGTAGCCAAAGAGGAATACCGGTGGGAACTCACATCTCCTGCAAGTTGCTGGAAAACCCTGCGGAACTGCTTCTCCTCATCACTTTCATGCTGCTCTGCATATGCGACGGGCCTGCGTGGTGGAGGCTGTGGAGAACAGACACTGGCATGAATACCAAACGGTGGCACCATGTGTCCCGCATCAACCAGCATGAATGACACTTACAGGCTGAGAGGGCACAAACTGCTCAGGGTCGATGTTGCTGTAAAAATCATTTGATAAAATTAAAAAATAGATTCAGAGGCGGAGAGAGGAGCTTAAACCACAAACCTCCTTCACTTTTTGGAAAAAACGGATCACTGCGCAGATTCTCACCTGACAACATCAATGATGCCGCTGATGAATTTTTTGGCAAAGAACATGGCTGTCTGCTGGGAGTAAAAGGAGATGATATTTTACATCATATGGCAGTAATTGGAAACAAAAACAATAAAAGCAAAGTATGCTTTGTGTTTCTGGAGTTGTAAAAAGATCCATAAAAACCCCAAAGAAAAGCCATGAGGAGATACAATCATGATAAAGTGAACCAAATGATCCGGTGGAATCACTCAATACTGGGTTCCAGCTGGGCTCATTATCAGAAGTAGAGACATCCTGTTTCTTGCGTTTATACACAGTCTAATCAAGCCAAAGACACACCCAATAGACCCTTTTCACACGATTTCCTGTTATGGATAAGAAAATTTCTCGCAGGACCCGGACGGCGAAACAACTACGTCTGTTTTCTAATAACATCTCGACATTTTGTGGGTTTTCTGATGTCCTTATCTGCACTTTAAAGTGAGTTAAGTAACATCTGCATTACTGTAAAGTTTGTTTTTATCGTGTTGTCATGCTCAAAGCTTAGCATCTCGTCTTGTTACCTTGTCTTTCGGCAAAATCTTGCCGTTAGGTAGCATTAAGACCGACAAAAGCCTGCCATATATTAGTACCACTTTATATTTAAGGCTAGCTAGCTTACCGTTCAGCAGCCAATTAAATTTTAGCATTAGCTTCCCTGTCATGAAGCTAACTTAGCAACATTATCTCTCCGTTTAGCTAAACTAAACACTACAAGTAATGACATGCCGAAAGTGTTTTTAAAGTAAAACGCAAATATAATCTGACGTATCTCGAGGTTTTGGTTGTATTTACCGTGTGGCAGCTGTGCTTTGAAGAGTTAAAGGCAGGATGAGTGACCGAGCTTGCTGGAGTTCCACTAAACTGGTCCGGTGGGAGGGAGGGTCCGTGAACACACCCCAACTGACGCAGCAGCTGGAGGCGAGAGGAGGGCACATCGGAGCTTCCTCCGCCTTTTTTTTGGCTCCCAAAAAAGGAAATGCACGGGCCAATGCACCGAAACACGGATTTATACCACTCTGAGAGTGGTTTGAAAAGTGTAATGAAGTCAAGAACATGGACGTTGCTGCCTGTAGATTGAGTTTTTCGAGCGAGTGACTTCAACGAAAACATCACAAAAACAAACAAGTTTGTACTATAAAGTGTGTCCTAACAGATTTTTGATCAATACGTTTATGTTCAATTTTCAGATTAGTACAAAACTCAAAACAAACATCCAGGATGTATAAGAAGGTAGACTACAGCCCCCTAAATGATCAGGTCCAAGTAAAAGATAATATAAATGTTTGTTGTAATAGTGGTGCTGCTAGAGTTAGATAAATCCGTGTTGGGATACTTTGCAGATCATTTTTGAGTAGTTCAGACCCTTGTTATGACTGAGATGGATGTACAGAGATTTTTAAAGAGGAAATAAATACCTAAATCATTGCTGTTGTGCATAAGTATGGTTACTTAGCAGATCATTGATAACTAGGTGCTCCCTTTGATCACAGATTGAAGCCTGGGCCTGTTGTATTATCATTTAGCTTTTATAAAGGAGTTATCTGAGTACAGAGCAGAATCCTGTTTTGATTGGATCAGCAGTATTTTCGGTCTCTGCATGGAGGTGTTGTGCTTGTGGTAAGAAGGTGGGTTCCGTGTGGCGTTTATATCTTAGTCTCAGTGGAATGTTCTCCTGATGTCCAGAAGGGTCATGATCAACATGACCTCAGTAAGCTGACCCAAAGAGTGTCTACAGGACGGATCTACATGCTGATTATGTGATGGAAAGTAGAACTGGATAGTTAGTGAAATGTGGCTGCTCTGGTCAAACATTAGCGTGAATGAAGTCGCTGACAGGCGATTTACTAATACCCCACGTTAGTTTATAGAGTTTAAACGAACAAAATGATGCTTTATAAATGGACAATAAAGGTGTTTCTAACCGTTTATACAGGGGCTAAGTCCCCACCCCCTGTTGTTGAAACCCAGAGAGGTCTAAAAGTGTCTTTCTTGTTCTTGTCCACAGTGTTACACAAAAACATGTTCCAGGACACAAAACTAAAAGCACGCGGATGACTGGACTGTGTCAAGGTTTGTTTTCTATCAAAAGTATGGTCTGTGTGTTTTGTTTGCAATATTTATGTTTAAAGATAGAAACAAATAATGTATTCATCACAGTAGTAGCTTTTTTTAATGTGACCAGCAAACAGGTTGAAAAATCAGCTAGATGTCATGTAAAGGTCAGAACTTTAATATTTTTACCAGTTTTGTAGCAAAAAAGATCAAGCATTGTTCTGAGAACAGATGTAAACACAATACTTTATCTCTCAGATCTGTCATTAAAGCCTGAAGTATAAAAAGAACAGCTTTAAATACTTTTCACCATTGAGACATGATCAACCTCACAGCAAATGTTCTGAGTAAATGTTCCATTTTTGTGGATGACATATGAAATGACCAAATTAAATAGAGCCCTTCAAAAGAACGTTTGTGCATGGAGAGCTCAAAACCAACCAGGAACAAATTACAAACAAACAAAAGCTAAATAAAAAGTTTTTTGCGCGGAAAAACAATTACCAAGCACAAATCTATCCTGCAGTCAAATTACGATCTCTGGATGCTGAAGATGGAACAATGTTATTGTGTGTTCCTCAGGCTTAGAAAAAAATTCCTTCATTCTGTGAAATATATCAGCAATTACCGCCTGCAGCAGAGTAATTCCAGTGGTTGTGGGTCGGCGTCAGAAACTTTAGGGGTCCTTTAGTTTAGCTTGGTTCCTGTTCTTTAGCCTCTGCAACTGACTGCAAAGGCATTCGTTTCAGATTAGATGTAGCTGAGACATCCCGGGAAGTCATAGGAATCTGCTCCATGCACCCCTTTTCCTTTCCTTAGACCCCTACTTTATGCCCCCATTATCTTTTTTTTCCCAATAAGTCCATTTTATTTTATTCCATATGCCATGCCCCTTTTGTGCAAGTGCATCCAATTTGTGGCCATGCCTGTGCTCCTGCAGCTCTGTGTGTGTCCCTGAAGGGGCTTTCCCACTACACCAACCCATTAACTCACACACCGTTCTCTCAGCTCGACCTCTCATTAAATTTAGTGGGTCAACTTTTACATGTGATTGTTCAGTCGAACTCGCCCTGCTATATTTTTGCTTCTTCACTGTGTTAATGTGAGACAACTGATAAAAAAACACATGCAAAACACACAGGAAATACAACTTTTACCCCACAGGAGGAGTGTGAAAGCTATTTTTCTGCATTTTTTTTCCTACAATAAACAAAGATGGGATTGAACATCCAGCATTATGTCCAGAAGCCAGCATTATTATGGGGTTTTAACCAGTACTTATTTACAATTTTGTTTTTTAGATTTAGTGGATTTGAAAGCCTTTCCTGGTATATCCATGTGTTTTCGACAAGACAATGCTGAACTGCATCCCAGAGAGTAACCCACAGGACCCAAAGGACACGACTAATGGTAAGGGGAACCTGACTGCCTGCCTGCTGGTAAGAAACACACCCATAAGGGATTGCTGAAAAACTCCGAAAGAAGCATAGCTGCACACCCATTGACATGTTTTTAAGAGGATTAAAAGGCCTCTAAAATGTATGGTGTCTTCAGTGTCAACACATCTATGAACTCCCATGAGCTGGAAAACATTACAGAGCTGTAAAGGTTTTACCATCCTAACGTATTGGGATTGTTGCAGCCATTGAAAGGCTTTATAAGAAAAAGAACGACTGTCTGCATTCAAAGAAAAGTAAAGATGAAGGCCAGAACCTTGTTTTATTTCAGATTGGGGGATTACAGAAAACCAGAGAAGGCAGGAATAATATGTTAACCTTTAATTTCTTCTGGTTAGGTTTTTCTTTAAACTTTTATAAAATATTTGGAAGAAAGTTTCCACCAAACTTGCTCGACAGACGGTGTCGCAGACTAAAAAAAAGCCTGCATGTAAGTGCAGTATATCACCAGCAGGGGGAGTCAGAGAGCGCTTGAGAGCCAAATCACTGCAAGCACTTGTGTCTTCTTAATCCACCTTGCAAATATTCTGGGTGCATGCCATGTACATAAATGTCGATCTGTCTTTAATTATCTAAATATAACCGCTTTTGCAGTGCTGAGATCACTGCCCCTGCTTTCTGAATTTAACCTGCTCGGTAACATGTCACAAGGAGTAGCTCACTGTGTCTTCTCTGTGAGTATTTATGTTCTTAAACAGAACTACTTGTCATGTCACAGTCATGGCTGCCTCAACAGTGTGGACACTTTGTTGTCCTCTTATACAGCTGATACATTATGATAGTGCCATTGGGGCAGTGGATCTCTGGAAAGTAAATATTTAAGTGTTTCTTTTTCTTTTGTGGTTAAAGCACAGAAATCTGTTTGTCCCGTGTGCTCTTTTCAGGTTACTAATTTATATAAACAATATGGCAAGGTATTGCATCACTGGTATCTGCCTCACTTTTACTCTTACAAACAAAAGCTCCTCACATGTGTGAGTGTTTGCGATGCACACCAACACTTTTCAGTGCAACAGCATTTGAAAACACAGCAACAACTCTGACACCTTTACAGTATATGTACCTCAGTGTTTCCAGAGTTGTAACCCGATGTTTAAGATGTGATGATAGCTGATTTGGTGAAGTAGAACAGAGATATGTTTCCTTCAGATCCCACTCCAGCTAAAATTACTCCATCCACGAAATGGAGGTATCCATGGTTACTTCAGGAGCTATGTTAAAGGGCGCCTCGGTGTATCTCTGTTCTCCAGCCCTTTCCGCCCTCTTCCTCATTCATCATTTGAAAGAAATCACAGAGGCAGCTCAAGGTTTCCGACAGCTACAATTTGGTTTTTGCAAATTAGATTTGCAGTGAGTAATCTCAATGATATTGATGAGGGGAGACCGGCTATTAAGTGTCTCTAAATTATGAATGCAAGACACATTACATCTGCAGTTACCTGCTTGACTTAGAGAGGATGAAATGCAGAGCTTATGCAGTTCAATACTCCAAAAACTGCATGGTGAAGTACTGTATAGAAGCATCACCAATACGGCATATTCACAGACTTCAGAACAACCTGTTACCTTGACAACGCAATTTTATCATTCAAGCCCATTGCTACCTTCTCTCACAGCAGGAATCAAATGTGCCTTAAATGTATACCGCTGCAGGGTTTTACTCCTCATTTCAAGGTAGGAAAGAGACATCCACTGGGTTGAGATGTGCGGAAAATCTTGAATTACGGTTTCGCTCCATCGCTGCAGTCGAAAATATGCTACTATTCTCCTGCCTTTACAATGTTTGGAAGCTGCTTTTGATCTAAAATGCATCATAAAAAACAGACTGGGCAGTAAAGCATTGATGCATCGAGGTCATGGAAGATAATGTTATTAAGATAAAAAGCTATTTTTAATCTAATCGATTCACCAAATCAGCACAGGAACATGATCAGTTTATGTTTCTGTTATAAACTAAAAGAAAGAGCTCTCTCTTTTGAATTAACAACACATCGTTCTCCAGGTAACAGTGAGCTCAGGTTGGTTTCCGTTGCCAGTGACGCACTTGTGCAAGTGTATAGAAATGACAGGCAATATTTCCAATACAATCTGACAGTTGTTGTGCAAGCTGTACGCAAACTTTACATGAGGAAGGTCCATCTTCGTCACTAAATTACAGTCAGTCAGCTAAGGAAGGAATTAGAATATTTTCCAGATCTGTCTACACGTCAAATAAAGCATAAACCTTCAGTCCTCTGGAAAAGAGCAGATGTTTGGGGTGGGTTTATGTAAGCATTGTACTATCATGAGGACGAGAGTTGCTGTGAAAATTTGAATCTATATGAGCTGTTTCCTTTGCACACAGTGATCAGTAATTGTTATGTACTGTGTAATTTCTGTTTGTTCTTCTTCATGGTGATGATTCAACGTATGTAGGCTTTTGTTTTCTGCCTGCATTCAGGGCCACTGCGCCCTGATAATATTGTATAAAAAGCAGAATAACATTCCTATTGAAAATTCGTCTTCATTAGGTCTTCTCTTCCGAAAGGATCAAGATCAAATATGCTAATTTAATTTAAAACAGAACGCTGCACCATAAAAAGATGGTGTGTGTCCTATTTGGTAAGCTTCAGCATTTAAGTGCGTGCGATTTATCCTTCCAAAAGTACTTGGTTGATAATGAACAAGGTCACACAGTGTAGGAGGAGAAGCCGTGTGCTGGATGGCTCATGGCTGTCAATGCACAAAAGTCATGAAGTAGAAGTTGAACTGAACTCAAATCTCAGGCAAAACATACTAAAAATCGACATACATCGACATACTAAAAAATCTGATTGCTGTTACTTATGCGAGTGGGATTTTTGGGGTATAACACATGAAAATATAATAGGACAAGATGTATTCCAGTAGAAGTAAGTGTGTACACACTCTTATTCATTATTAATTTGATTTATAATTGCTCATTTTGGCTTACACTTATATTTCTAGTATCAGCTCTGTTTGCTCGATGCTTATCAGTTTGATAAAAAGATGAGCTCCACAGCTAATCGATTACAGTGTAAGCTAAAAAAAAAAAAAAAGAGCCTTTATTATCATGTGAAGGGTTTAATTTATTTGGAAGGTGTTTGAATGACCTTTGGTTTGCTGAATACCCACTCACAGGTTTCTGCTCGGCCGAGACATCCACTGAATTTCTAGCCATGATTGCACCGAGTTTGTGTGGACACCATCACCAGTCTGTCCTTTGGTTCACCACTTTGCTATGAAATGAATAGGCCTCAAATAGTGAATTGATTTCCAAGAAACTGAGGGGAATGATAGGCAGCTTTAGCTCAGTGGCTGGAACGATTGCTCTTCAATGAGAAGATTGCTGGTTGACCCACAATTTTCTCAGGCTACAAGACAGTGAACCCCACACCACCCCTGCTTGTTCTTTATTTGTAAGTCACTTTGGAAAAACGTCTTGTCTTGTAAATTCATAAAATGTAATAAATCTAACTTGCCTGACTGTAACACTGGAGGTACAATATTGTTACTTGACATTTGTGATTATAACTCCATGAGTGAACAGGCAAGAATAAGCTAAAGAGAAGACATTTTTCAATCGATTCTCTTCTTTTAACTGCTGATACTATAACTAAATGTATTAAAATGTTCTGGCATCAGCAGAATTAAAAACATTCTCATTCTAAGCTGAGTAGAAAAATTACAGATGACAGAATCTGAGATGCCAATTGGTACATGCCCCCCAAAAGTCAGAGCAGCCCAACCACTCATGACCTCGTAAAAGATGACTCCCCGCACTCATGGTGTCGACAGCTAGAGAAATCAAATCTGAGTTCTTTAATGTCGTATCTAGTTTATTTCAGCCTGTCCTCATTTCAGAAACTCATCTAAATCTATATTAACCATTCATTTCGTTGTGTTTGCACCTGGATTTAAAACGCCTTGATATGAGCATTGTGTCCATGTCAACATCTCCTTGTTGGTGTGTGATATGAGCTGCGATTTGAGTTATGTGCACACTCACGCAGGACAGAGCAGAGGGATGACGTGGAGAAAAAAAGGAACAGAAGACAAGTGATGTTAAAATGAACATTTATAATGACTCTTTGTTGCTGTCGCAAAAATAATCTTTAAAAAACAATTCAATTATTAACACTGAAATGCTGACTTCACTGGTAGTCCACGAGTCATAAAACACAACTCACTGAATTTCTTTTACAAACACATTACTACATTTTACATTAAATAGTCATTACCGTTAAATCTATTAATGAATAATGTTCAAATAAACCAATAAAACAAATGACACTTAAAATCCGCTTATTCCCTCACCATAGTAGCTGTTGTCTTTTTTTTTTTAATCAACAGTGTATCATTTAGAAAATATACTGCTTCTGAGATGTTTCCGACAAAAGCAGAAAACAGACTGGCAGCATAACAATAATGGTGCATGAGCTCGAACGTCGTACGATTAGGGTGATGTTTTTCAAGGGGAGTGGAAATGGGATGTAACCATTCCAGTGATCTAACAGTTATGCAGGCTGGCTGCCTTTTGGCTCAGTATGGAATTATTTGGCACTCTTGTAGACAAACTATTTGCCGTGAAAAGCTTTCGCACTTTTTATAGAATGGCACACAAAGGCAATTTGATTTCTCTCTGAAAATCATCTCAGGACTTTTGTCATTTCAAAAGACACACAAATGCTCACCCAGAAAGCCCTTTACGTAGTTTATGTGGACTTTCTGATGCTCCTCACTTGCCACAAGTGAAAGACAAAAGAGAAATACACCCAATCAACAAAACATCACTCTGATTATGTTGGAAATATTTGATCTTATGCTGTCAGTCCATTTTTTTTCTGAGATGGAACAGAGATTAAACAGCGTAAAAACTAGTAAACCGAAAGAAAACGGCATGAGAGTATATGCAAGGTACTGGCATGCTTTCCTCAGTTTACACCTAAGCAAGCGATCAACCTTGCACGATAGTTCAGATAACCAGAAAACAAAAGAACAGTCTTGCAGAGTTTGACAGTAAAATCTCCAACACATATATGAGTTCTTGGGGATGAAGAAGGTCAACAAAGTTCATGGGAGGTTCAGAGGGTCAAAGACAAAGATGGCCTCATGTGTGGTTGCCAAAGAATCCTACGATTTCTCACACGAAAGAGCCGAGAAAGACCTTAACCCGTTTAAAGGGTGGACACAGTAGCAGGTGCTCAGTGTAGCGAAACACAAATTGTGATACTGTGTAGACTGAGAGAGCAAGACTCAGGTAGAATTGGTTTAAAGAGAGGAGCGAGCAGCCTTAGCCAGTTTGTAGCATTTGTAACCAGTTCTAGCCTTCTTGTGAAAGGGCTCCGTGGGGGCGGGTGAATGTCCAGAATTCATTTGGAGTGAAAACAAAAACAAACATGAAGACTTTTGGAATGGTCATCTGGCATTCAGGTGTGAGCGAGTAATTGCAACGACAGGGATTTGAGACACAAAACAATGACACAGATATATCAATCATGTGGCGAGGCCTTAGCCACTGGGAGGCGTGGCCTGTGGTTTTCATCATGATGAAGCGGCAGAGGCATTCTTCGTTTTGCTGGTGCCGATCGTGTCTCTCAGATCTGATTGTAAAATAAGCCAGACCTTAAACCTTCATCCCTCAGTGCTTTATTACCAATTCACTGGCAAAAAAATTAAATAAACAAATTCTAATCTGTAATATAAAGAGAGAAATGGACAAAGTGTGGATAACTCCTGGTTGCACATGGTGGTCCAGGACAAAGCACTCAGTGATTGACACAGACCTCTGCTGCAGGGAATGTGACAGAAGCCTTTGAGAGAGGAAACAGGTGCTACTTTTTTTCTATTTTGTCTGAGACTCCAGCCCTTTCCATCATTCTTGAGACCCAACAGATACAGGGAATAATTCAAAAGAATACAAATAAACGGAACATCAGAGCAACAAGATGGCGATAAAATCAGAAAAAAAAAACAACCCAAAAAAAACAGCCGTGGAAAGCCAACACAGTTCGCTTCTTTTCACACCCAACATGACCCACTGATCAGTAAAGTGCATTTATGCAACACCAAACAAACAAGATAATGTTGACAGCGAATCGGAAGTTGTGTTAACATTTCTGGTTCATGACCGCGGCCGCGTGAGGCCTACCTGACTATAGCTGAAGTATGTTATTGACATAGATATTAACTCTACATGTATTCAACATTCCTGCCCTGAATTTACATTAAAGACAGATAAACATTCGACAGAACTCAAAAGGAAAAAAAAGACAACTGAAATGGGTACATTCATATATTAGATCTGGGCTTTCAAGCTGTGACATATAAAACATCTGAAACTCATATGAGACAGGTTATGTGAGGTTCAACCTTTAAAAGAAACGCTTGCCTGATATCCTAAAAAACACAAGGAGCCAATGCACTGACTAACATTTTCACGTTTGCTTGTTTCACATTTTTAATACTCCTCACTGGACCTAAAAAGCTAAATAACTTCTCTGATGATGGCTCGAGAGATGAATTATCTGATGTGAAATTTTGATCTCGGATCTGTGTTTTTTTGTGTGTTCGTGTCTGTCTTTTTTTCCTGTTTTTTTTTTTGGGCCAACATGACAATAATGAGCTCCCTCCCAACTCAAAACACAAAGAAAAACAAAGTATTTTTTTTCTTTTTTTTTGGAAACATGAGGCGAGTAAACTTAAGGGCTTTACATTTGACTGCATGCAGTGTTATGTCTTTGAATGTTGCGAGACACCTCGCAGGTTTTTATAACTTTTTTTTTTCCTCCATAATTTACTTTGATACCATGCAATAGAAGACGTGCAAAAAGATAACACCTAACTCCACAAACACATTTTTGATTGTTAATGGCTATGTTATGAATGCTTATAACATGTTATGCTTAGTGCATGCTGGCCTATAGAGACATTTGTGAGAAAACAGCAGTACTTAAGCCACAGGTCAAACAAACACACAAGGGATGCATGGAGTATAAAACAACATGGATCCATAGAAATCACAATCTTTAACTCTTACTCTATGTACCTATGGGATAAAACAATGCACAAAAAGTTCTTTGTCCTTTGTTTTCTTAAGTAATGTATTTGATTATCTTTTCTTAACTTAAAAGACAGTGTTTGATTGGCACTTGATCAGCACTTCTAAACATGTTATTGATATCTAACATTTGATCGCACATCTACAATTTCAGAAGCTGCGGAGGTCTAGTTTGGCACAGGTCGTACTATGGAGTCTATTATTACTTTTACTATCTTACCAATACTGTATAGTATTCTATACACCTCGTTTTATGCTCCATTTTTTTTAGAGCATGTCTCTAATCAACAGACCAGACATCTTTTCAACTAAAATATTTTGTATAGTTTACTTATCAAATAGCAGCATTTTCATAACTTACAAAAAGTACATGTAAACCTATTCATTCAAAATCTTAGTAATTTCAAAGGTTCATACAACAGACATAAAACACAAAACAGGACAACATGCTACTATATTGCTTCCAATATTCTTTACATTTTCTTACTGTCAAACTAAATCATCAATGACAGAAATATGGACACCACCGGTCGATGATGAGTCATCATAATGCACAAACAAATCGCGAAGCTAATCTTAATCAGGCTTAGTTGGCACTCTCATCATCCACACAAATATAACATAGTTTCACATTGTATCGACAACGCTGGACTGCATTTGGACTACAAACTAGAATAGCTACAATAAAGTACATATAGATCATATGACATGACATATTGTATTCCACAGAAATGATTTCTAGTCATTTTCAGATAACAGGATATGCATAAAGGATGTCGTTGTTTCGGCTTGAGGTCACAAACAAGTTCCCGCGTTACTCTCTGGCTATCTTATGCATTCTGTCCAAACCATGCTTTGTTTAGAGGCTGAAACTTAAGCTCAGCCGTCGTATGAATATTACTATAACCAAGATTTCCCTTTCTTTTAATTTGATAAGGCCGAACCTGTCTGAATCGTCCCTGTTCTTCTTATAGAGGGAATTTGACACTTTGAGCTAACGTTGCTGGTTGGTCTCGGTGGGTGTCACAGTTTTGGAGGCAGGTGTTTTCTGTGCATTTTAGCCTTGTGAACTCTGCGGCCTGGGAAAATATTTTCATACTCCTACGACATATAGTGCATAACTCCCACCACAGCACATCCAACACACCGCCCATGAGACGACAAGACAGGAGGAAGGAGAAAGAGGGGGAGAGCACAGTGTAGGAAGAAGCACAGACAGGGATTTGGACACAGGAGGAATCCTAGAACAGAGAGAACATGCAGGGGAATAAAATGTTGAGAGAAAGAGGAAAGTTAATGAGGGGCAGAGAGAAACAGCATTTGGCACAATGTATCGATCAGAGAGCTTTTTGAAGAAGAGCTCTCTGGAGTCAAGCAGTCCAGTTGCATTGATAAAACATCCCTTTGTTTTGTGCTTGTATCGCTTTATATGCTAAAATATTGGGCAGTTAAAGGTTACCTTTAGATATGCTTTCACTGGTGGCCAGATTGTTGTTATGGATGATTGTGAAGCCTTCCAAACACATAGTGAAAAGAGAGATTTCAGCTCGTTAGAAAGGCCAACTCAGTGCAGTTGCCACGCATCACGTTAAGACACAAAGAGTTCCTTTAATCGCTTTCAAATCCATCTCTTTTCAAACATGAATTCTGAAAATGAAAAGGCCGTCCACTGAATTTGCCTAAAATGGGAGGTGCCTCTGACTTTCCTGGACACTGCTCAGCACCAACCCTCACAGCTTTGTCTTACGGAAGCTGATCATAGAGCTTGGGTTGATGGGGACAATTGAAAATGCCTTGAGAGCAGGGAAGGAGGGGGGGTGGTGTCAATAGGACTGGGAACTACAGAGCAGGGAGATGAGGTGGGTTTAAGCATCGGTTTTGCCGATCGGGAAAAAATTTAGTGCAGCATGTTGATAAACAGACATTATCACAAGACTCTGGAGTATAAATGCTCTTGTGGAGATGTCCCCTCTGTATTTCGGTCTTGAGTATGCGACATAAATGTGCACATTGAAATATACTCACATCCCCGACAGGGACAGACACGCTTTACATTGTGTTCTAAATGTCTCACAGTGCAGTCTTCAGAGACCCAGTGTACTCAGGATGAACGCTATGGATAGCAGCACAGAGGGGAGGCAAGATAATCTTTGAGTGCTTGGAAATGCTCTAGACATTTATTCTGCCTACGTTGGACAAACAATTACCTATAAAAGACAAGGATGCCAAAATATTTGATGCTTTTATTCAACGCTCCACTCGAGGCTTTAACATGCTTTTGGAAGGATAACAGCCTGCCTGGATTTTTAGTCTTTGTTTTTTTTTTCTTGTTTCGATGCAAATTGGGAAGGTCGTTCCACAGAAAAGAGACTCCACACCCTCTTTTCAAGTGTCATTCGACTCCTCTCTCATTAGTGTATGTCTCTTGAATATTTGGTACCCTTAACGTAAAGGCGATAGTTTGTTTGTTCACAGATATTGGTTCATACAGCTTTTCTTATCAAAATGCTTTTTTTCATGCTGAGCTATTCCGACACTGCTTCAATGTATTCAGAGCCTTAATGTTGGGAGTTACAAGAGTCTGGCTAAGGCAAGAGATTCATGTCGGGTGATGTCTGTGATAGGATGTCTTCATGACAAAAAAAGGGGGAAAGCCTGCATTGGGAGTGACAATGGACTTGACTTATAAAGACTGGATTGCTTTTCATCACGAAATGCTGAAATCAATCATTTGTCATTAGGTGAGAGGCTGGTTCCGATCCAGTGGGCTACTAATGGCTGGTCGACACGTCAGCTACTTAAAATCAAGTAACAAGTTAAGTCGCCAGAGAGATTCTGATTTCATGGTAAAGGAGATATAAACCTAATTATATAGCACCAAGAAAGGGTTAAACAACATATTTCTTTGTGTTTGTAGCTGTGACTGAATATGCAAATATGTCTCAGTGTTTGTGCGCTTGTGGGAGCATTATCTATATTTATGTAAAATATATTTATACATTCCTGTGTGTCTCCTCTATCCTCTCACATTGATTATTTAACCCCTGAACTCCTGAACTATACTTGCAGACAGCAACAGTGAAGTTCAGACTGGGTCCGAACTATACATTTCTTTCACTGCAACACAATATTTGATCCCTGTAAATAAAAAATAGCAATAGGCTAATATTGTTTTTACATTCAGATCAACCTGCATCCACAGGTTTAAATAATCTATTTGTGTTTGAATGAGACCGTGTCGATAAATAAAGGATGAAAATATAAAATTCCCAAATTTAGAAACCTCAATTATGATATGAGCCAGAATTTAACAAATGTCAACATGGATACGAGTTGTTTGTAAAGGAAATTATACTCAGATTGCTTCCCCCAATGACTGAGATGAGCTCAGGTGCTTGTCGTAAAACCTCTCCCCTGTTGACAATGCCTTCTGCATCGTACGCAAAGAGCAAGGTTTGTAAAACAGCTCTGCTAGCTGGCTGGATCTTCATCTGACTCGCTCAGCTCACCGGGAGCTGAGGCTTGAAATCAAAACCAACAAAACCAACCCACCCAGCCCCACCCCCCCAAAAAAAAGTAAAAGAAAACAGTAATGAGGTTTTGGAGGAGGGTGAAACCCTGCGGCCTCACTCTTGAATCTGCAACTTGGCAGTGGACCAGTTCAGCTTACTCTGATCACCATTGTCAAAAAGACTTGACACAAACTTTTAAAAAACACCAGGACGTCGGTCCTAAAAACACACTCACATTTCACACACACTTATCTTGGCTGTCTCCCCCACCTCCTCCTTTGTGATTCTCTCATTTGATACTGAAATATTGAACAGATATTTGGACATTTCTTTTTTTTCTATTCATTTTGACTCTCGTTTCCTTTCTATCTCTGTCTTCATCCTTTCCTTCTTTTCTCTGCTCTTCTCTCTAGCCCACCTTTTGTGGGTTGGTAGCGCGCACGCCCTGCTCGTAAGTGATCCGCTGGCTGATCAGATACTGTGCTGCTTGTGTAGCGGCCGGCGACCCTGTTATGGTAACTTTACGGTTCCGAGTGCCAGGAATGAACTCTCCTTTTTTGGAGATCTGGATGCGAGCTCCTGTCAGCTCCTGGTACTCTACCAGCGTTTTCCCTCCTTTCCCCAAGATGGCACCCACCAGATTTTCGGGCACAGCAATTTCAACCACGTCCTTGGCCCCATCTGCCAGCTTCTCTGTCGCCAACAGGGATGAGGCCATCAAGGGAGATGAAGCATTTAGGTAACCATTGGAAGCCCCGGTGGCAGCTGCTAGTGAACCCAGGGAGAACCCACTGAGGCCTGTAGCAGGGTGGCCGGCACTGCTGGAGGCATCGTTAGCATAGGAGGCCAATAGGTTAGCCGCAGCAGCAGCCGCCGGGTTGGCACTCGCCGCTACTGCAGCCAGGACTCCAGACGCGGCCGCGGGGTTGAGGCCCAGGCCCAGGGTGTTGGTATTGTAGCCGTAGCTAGCCAGCGTATTCAGGGCTGAGGTGATGGCCAGCAGATCATTGCCAGAGAAACTGGACATGGTGGCAGGGAAGGCACCCATTCCTGTCAGTCCGGCCTGACCTAGAAGGCTGGAGGCAGTGGCAGCGGCTGCGGCTGCATTGGGCAGCACCTCGGCTGTGTTGGCGTAAGGGGAACCGGTGGGGTTGGAGTTGGCCACCGGGCCGGAGACGTTGGAATAGCTAATATTGAGGCAGCTGCTGCTCTGAGGGTCCTCCTGGATTTTCTGCACTATGATCTCCACGGCCTTACGGTTCTGCTCGGGTTCCCCGCTGATGGTTACCACTCGCTCCTGCAGGTTGATGCCCTCTGGCTTCTGGGAGAGCTGCACCCAAGCCCCAGACTGCTCCATCACCGCTTTCACAGTGGCTCCACCTTTTCCAATGATCAGTCCAGCTGTGCTATTGGGCACAATCAATTTGGCCTGCAGAGAAATAGAAAGTAGCTTTTGGTAGCAAAAAAAGGAAACTGGAGAGAGATTTCAAAGCACAAACGATCAGAAGACAGAGGGGTATCTCTCACCGAGTCAGAGTACTATACCAACCCCCACTTTACTCAGCGATTTGTTAATCCCAGGGGTTTAGCCTGCAGCTGCCACATGGCTCTGTCTAGCTATGAAAGACTGTAGGTAAAAATAACCACATACACTCACATTTTCCTGACCCTACCAGACCATGGGCTGGTAGGGTCAGATTGGCAACTAAACAACAAAGTGTCCTGGAAGTGAACTGCTCCTACTGTACAGTAACACCATACCTTAGCACTCATCGAGAGCCATCAAGACGGTTTATTTTAGAAGCACTTGAAAGGGTGAGTGCTCTATAAAAATGACCATCAACTGGTTGAATGATCCATCTGTTGTTAACTCTATCGTGGACCTAACAGCAGGAGCAAAATCACCCTTTCCACCGATGAGGCTGTGAGAGTTATTTTGTCTTTGATTCCATAAAGAAATGCGCTCCGGTTTGACATCCTGCCATTACAGAGGCCAAGTAACAAGAAACCGCCTAAGTCTAATGCTGATCGGGATTAACTGTCCATTGCAGATGTAACAGCGAGGACTTTCCTGTGATTGTGAACTTGCTAATGTCGCGGGAATCCAGCTGCTCCGCAGCTCACCTGTTTGACGCGGTCAGGGTTCACCGTGGTCTGGGGTTGCAGTATGCTGACTGGCTCTGGTTTCTGGGCGCTCTGGGGCATCTCGCGGACTTTCTCCGCGATGAAGTTGTGAACACCATTGAGGGCCTCGACAGTACCCTGTATCAGACAGACTCTTTCTGTTGTTCCTGTGATGAGAGAGGCAGAGGGGGAAGGTTATCGTGGTTACTTGCTGATTGGAAATGGAACAAGATCGACATGCATATCAATACTCTTTGCTGAGAAGGACACCATGCAGATATTCCTCCCTTCATGCTTTTACACCATAAAAAAGAAACAGCTGAAAGACTGAAGACTGCTTAGTTAGCGAGCCACAGGGGGGAGGAGGATTCCTACTAGATGATGTAACACTTACAGTGCTCTAATGCTCAGACTGTCCTTGCCTCGCAGCTCTAATAGACTAAACACACATTTGTTCCTCCTCGAGGCTCCTTTCTACACCCACATTGACAACCCAACTGGCATTCTGTTGCCATGGCAAAGGGGCCGAGCTGTGGAAACAGGTGATGCAACACTGAGTCCTTTATGCTGGTTTGCACAACTTTAAAACACTCTCGCTTTTGTATCGACCTTCCAGCCTTCCTCTCTGGCACCGTTTGACTTCGCTCTGGTGGGACGTGAAAGATCTCTTAATTTTGACATGCGGCCTAAATCTGAGCACTGACTGACAGAAAGTCCCATTTTCGGCCACTAAACTCAGTAAAAGGTGTGGATGAAAAGACCACCCGATGCGATGATCGGGAGTTGTGATCCCACTTACAAATTATAAGCACTCAGGATATGCTAATATGAATTCAGTGAAAATCCATCTGTGTCAGACGCCAATGGATGCAATGAATAATTCAAACAGATAGTTACTTGATCGTTTTAGAAAAAGTCATGCTAGAACAATTTCCTACCTCCATGCAATCTGAATTAGACCTAGTCCTTGATATCAGACTTACAGCACTGGATCATCCATAAGCAACTTAACATGTATTTGAAACTACTGAAGATAAGCTTCATCCTTTCGACTGAAAAGTTCCTGTAAACTGTAGATTATCAGTTACAATCAAAAGGAAAATCTGAATGTAAATTGACTTTAAACCAATAACCTATGACTGAAATGTTGTAGAGTTTTGGGAAGCAGACTTGGCACCTCCTGGAGTTGGAGGGCTGCCCCTGCCTGTCACTCTCAATGTGACAAATTAAGGGACCGAAGCTTGTGAGTGCAAACTCTTTAATATTTCACAGATTTTTATGTCAGCTTATTCTCTCATCAAATATGTTACAACCAGTACTGACACAAGGTGAGGATGTTACACTACACAGATGCCTGAAGCTCACACGCTCTCAGATCCACTAAATTTCCTGGGTTAGTGTGCATTACTCTATGCTTACATTGATGTTTTCCGTATCATCTCCAAATGGATATGCTGATAAAAGGCAAAAGGAGATTGTTGCTTCATAATGAACTACTCCTGCATATGCAGGTTGGAAACAAACAGCAAGTAAAGGGGCAATAATTAAGCCCTCCCTTTTTTAGTTAATTTTAAAAGGATTTAGAGATGATAACATCACACAAATCCTCTGTTTCCCCACAGGCTAAATACAACTTCAGATAAACAACATGGGCACACTAATAAGTCACCTAACTTAAAAAATATGTGATCATAGTTAGAAGTAACACTTTTTCTGTAGGATTTACCCAATATTTCACATCATTTAGGAAGAATTTTGGAGCTCATTTATACACTCAAGTCCCACCACATTGCCTTGGTTGAGTTTTTTTTTTTTTAGGATTTTAACCTCTTTTAACTTCTATTTTTGCTGTAAATCTACTGCAGTGTTTGGATCTTTGTCCTGTTGATGAGCCAGTTTCAGCCAAGCTTTAGCTCTGGGGCAGACAACCTCACATCTGAATACTTTGGTATCAATGGTGGAGTCTCAGGTCCTGATGCTGCAGAACCAGCCCAAACCATCATCCCTCCACCACCGTGCTGACAGCTGCCATGAGCTGTTTGGCTTCTGTGCATTCTGAGCAAACACCCACCCTTTTGTCGGGTCTTTCTTCCAGGAGTCTTTTTTCAGATATAATTTAGCAAATCTCAGATAATTGATGTCTGTCCTCTTACCACTGCAATTTACTATGTTTATTCAACACAAACTAAAAAGTGTAGCAGATCCAGATAAAAAACAAAAAAAGGCAAAATACAAAGAAACAGACATAGCATGAAAAAAGAAGAACCAACTAAGTATTTAAGGTACGCGAAGATCTGACAAAAACTTAACACAGGGATACATATACTGAGACGTGGACTAAGAAGGAGGTGGCTGCATCTGGGGCTGACTGAGTCCAACACAGCTGTTTGATAAACTAAACAGGGGAACTGAGGATACCTAGGAACTATGATTGCATCATGAATCTAAAACACAAAGTACAACATTGAAGGTAACACCAACTAAGAACAGAGCTGAGTAAAACAAAGAAATAAGAAATAATTCAACCATAAAAGACAGAAATTCAAAACTATGAGAAACACAGAGAGAAAAGGTTATTCAAGCTGGGTCAAATAAATCTTAATTTAGACCAATGACTCAAGAACATAAACAGAAATCATGGCAAAAGAAAAACAAATCCAAAGTCCAAAAATCCACAGACGAGCTAAGGATAATTAATTCGGCCCTGAACCTTAAAATGAAAGGAGAGCACATTTCATATTCACACGACTGTATTTAAAAAAAAAAAAGAGAGAAAAACAGAGAAAGAGAAAGAGAGAGAGAGAGCACAATGTGATCTCATTGTTGTACACATCAAATAAAATCTGCGACTTTAAACTGAACAACCTCTTTCCAAGCCCGACTGTGGATGCGACACGTCCTCAGAAGAAAATACGACTGACAGCTACTTCACAGACAGTAGGACGGTTCACTGTTAATGAAAAAGCATGTTGCTGGTGAACCACCACAAAGAGGACATGAAACTGTCTGAGCGTTCGAATTAAGTCCACCCTTCCTGAAATGCTTGCATAAGCTTCTGTCTCCCATCTCCTGTTGATAGTCGTGAATTTCGAAAGAGTGGTTCCTTGCTTTAGCTTTGGTCGGTCTCAAACTGACACGAGGGGAGGAAAATGGGTCAGGAGGTGCCTCAGAGAGCACAGATCGCAGTCTCCCGCTTTCCCCACAAGACAACACTCTCAGGTCCTCCATCTTGATCCAAAGTACTTAAAGTTTCCCCGCTTTTCAGAGCTTTTCTCTGCTGAAAATCTGTCTCATGTTAGCCTCCAAATCTTCTGTCTCTGACTGTTAGCATTCCACACATGAGACTTCACCCATAATTACTGTCATCACATCAACAGCTGCTCTAGGATACAGTATCATCCATACTACAAACTGAGATGAAACATTGTTGGAAATCTCTGTGCCGACTATATTCATCATGTTGTTTCCAGACTGAGCTTCTCTACTGAACATAAACACTGATGTTACAGGAGGGGATCTATCGCACTGATCCTTTCATATCCAAGAAAGTCTCCTGCAAGACCGTTACATTACATCAATCCTCAGCTGCAGGTTCACTCCAGTCCATGTGGCCATCTTCGAACAAAGCCAATAAGCACACCTCACTCATCATGGTCTTCTTTTGGCGTTTAGTTTGAAGAAACAAATCAATAAATGACTGATTATTAGCTTTGCACAGCTGGTTCTCGTGCTTCTTCCTGACAAATTCTGAGTACGTGGACAAAAGAGAATTCTTGGGACTTAAGTAATGGAGCCTCTGAACCTGTACTGTTTGGAGGTACACAAGGAGTTACTCTGAGAAAGTACAAAAATCCTTTGATTTGTTCATATCTTTTTTCTCTTCTGGTTCAAAGTAAACACATCTTTTTCAGAAATAATGTCAATACGTATGTTTAATCAAAGGTTTGCAACCAACAAAACACAGAGTGACTCACGCATAAGTTAACCCCCTTTTTAAATGATGTTTTATGCAGAGACTGGACTGTAATCTCCTTGCTTTTATCTTCTATCTGTGTTTATTTTCAACTTTTGGATTCTATTGCATTAACTTGGAGCCAGAACGTGTATAATCGCTCCACATTTAAAGTCTTCTTTGTGAGTACTACAAAAAAAGTGATCAGTCAGGATGGCTTTTTCCTTCTTCCTCTTTTCTTTGTTCACATCTCCGCACACACAGGCTTTTCTTGGCAGAGAAGGGATTGAATTGCAGAGATGCAAAAGCTTCCTGTGGGGTTTTGTAGAACCAAACGGAGGTGTTATCATATTTATTTGTTTTTCTGAGTTGCTCCACGACTGGCCCGAGCCTGTCTCCTGAACTCGGCTGCTGCCCCCCTTTACTGTATCTTGTTGAGTAGAATACTATGTTTGGAGAGACTGATGAAAAATAGCAGCCTAATAAGCCTTTAAACAAACACCCAAAGGTTTTTGTGCTTAACTCAGTAATTAAGTCCTCAACAGACTTACATGGCACTACCCCAACTTTGAAGTATAATGCAATAGAGATGAATGAAACTGTATTAGAAACATATATGATAGATAATCTGTTAATATAATAAAACATTGTTTTTTATCAGATAGTGTTTTCCTGTTGCTAATACATTAATAACATAGTTAAATTCTTTAGAGTTCTGTTAGATAGATAAGTGCACTTCCTCTGCAATAGGATCATCTGAGAGGTCATAAAATATTTATGTTGGTTCACACTGCATATGCAATTATATGCTTAATTATATTCTTAAAAGAACAATAAAAAGGCTAATTCAATTACAATTATTTCAGATTCAGCTATAAAATGCTTCATAAAATGAAAAAGATACCAGGGGAAAACCCTATAAAAGCCTTTACAATGAGTAAAAAATTTGAAATTAATAAATTGATTTGTTAAAGAAACAAAAGAAATAACCAACACACTTTAAAAAATTAAATAAATAAATACATACATATTTCTAATTCTATAAGTGAAAATCACCCGATCTTATTGTTGAAGACTTAAAAGTGTGCCCCATCATCGCTTTTAAGTTGACAGTGTTTGTGCATGTCTAAGCTCAATGCACGTTCCCATTTAATGAAGACTACCTTAAACATCATTTTCTTGTTTTTCACACCCTGCGTCTTCCTCCGAATGCCAACTGTACAT